TGCTTCACTTACTCTTCAATATATCATTACTTATAGGGATCAGATTATATATAGCACTTAGTTATTATGTTGTATTTCAAGTGAGTGAGTGAGTGAGTGAGTGAGTGAGTGAGTGAAAGAGAGAAGGTACAGTCATATGAAGTAGTATCTATGCTAATCAACAATCATTGACATTTGCCAAAACATTCATTAATATATAGTTGAATTATATCACATGATTTCATTGGCCTCATTTAGAACGATGGATTCCATCTATCTATAGATCTATGCTGTACCAAAAAAAGAGAAAAGTTTAAAACGTTATTTAGAGTATTGTAAATTCTTGGCTAATGTTTCTTTGTACTATTCATTATTGATGGAGGTTTATTCTCTGAGCTGGATGGTTTAGTCGTGGAGCTTTCATCGTTCTTCTAAACGACATCAGAAGAAGAACAATGAAAGCTCCACGATCATTACCTGAGCTATAAATCTTCTCTATCATCTCATTATTCACATGAATTATGTGAACCTCTGTACAGGGATAGATTAATTTTAATAGTTGAGATCATGAGTCCACCATGAAAAACCTGAAAGCATTGGATGACCGTTTCGTCCTATTGTGGGACTCCTCAGGAGTGCACATCCACGATTCCGCCTCGTGAGATTCGAACTCAGGACCTATCAGTTTGATAAGTTAACTATTAAAATTACTATAATATCCAAAAAACCCCTTCTGAAGGATAGGTTAGTTGTTTTTTAAAGAAAGGAAAGGTATTATCATTAAATCCAAAACAATATATTACTCACTATGTATTTTAATGTGTTCTGTTCTATTGTGATGATACGACTCTATAACATTTGAACTGATGGTCTCTTATCCTACTGACTGGATACAGTAAATGATACATTCAAGTTCATTTTCTACTAATATAATGTTTTTAAATGTTTTAATGGTTGAGATCACGAGTGAAGCAAATGAAGCTAGACCACTACGGAAAACTTGGAAACACTGGACAGTCGTTTGATCCTGCTGTGAGACTTCTCATCAATGGGTATCCGAGATCTCGCATTGCGAGATTCGAACCCATGACCTATCGGTCTTATGCGCAAGTGGTTAACCTTTAGATCACTGAGATGACTCGCATCCAATGGTGTTAATGTATAACTTCAACTAATCCACGAAATTGAGTGACACATCCACCATTGTCATCAGTGATTTACTGTCTTACAACAAGCCCGGTTGAACTCTACTGGTCACTACTTCTCACTAAAATTCCAGGAAATACCACTTGAACATATGAGCGTATGTTGATTAATATCAGAAGGGGTTTTGTCGATATTATAGTAATTTTAATACCTGCTCCGTCGTAGTGTATATCTCTTTATCAGTATGAATCCATAACCTTCAAGTCTTTAAGCGAATGTCTAACTATTATAAACATTTAGTTATGATCTGAGTGTATACATTTCCAACTTCAGTCAGTTTATGATATAGCGCGACGATCGCTTTATGTCACTAAAGACAGCGTTTTCACCACAAATATATCTGAACACCACTAGTCAAGACTTCCCACTAGAACATCAGTTACTTAACTAGAAATTAGTGATTAACCAGATGATTATCAAATACATTTTACTAAATAAAATCTAGCGACTTGATTGATAGTAAGTTAACATTACAATAGTTGGAATGTGACCGGCAGTAGAATCCCGAATACACGTTTCGTTCTAGTCTGGACACGTCAACTAGATATACCTGTATACAATAGAGTTGATATTCACTCTGTGATCTGAACAGGACAAAACTCTTATCCTAGATACCACTACTAACCATATTCTGTCTATTCTATATCAACTTATATCATAATGGTTGTGTTATCAAGTCAATCTGTAATCAAAACTGATCAAATTTTAGTTAAAACTCTCAAGAATACAATGATGTAAACTAGTTCAAATGGAATATTCACATTATATATGTAGAATTCTTTAAGAAATATTGATGTGAATAGAGTCATTCTAAAATCCAATGATAATCAATTATCCATAGATTACGTAATAGTAAGTATCAGAGATAATCTCCGTAAGTGTTGATAACATAATATAAGACTGTCAGATGAAGTAGGTATTCAAATAAACATTTCTATTAGAGAGTATTCTATCTTAAATTTAGAAAACAAAAAGAAGATGGATATTGTCACGTTATTCAATTGAAGTCATTATTCTTATAATCAATTTCTTTGAATAATATACATCATTCTTCGTAAGTTTAACTAATCAAGTGGGTTTGTAGGTTAATCGAATGATTTTGTTGGTGCTATGTTAGTACGGTTGCAAAACGTTGTCATTAGGAGTAGAAGATAATTGTAAGTTGCTAGTATTTCATCACAGATGTCTTAGAAATATAGCTCACATCTGCTGGAATCACCGAGTAAGTAATAGTGAGGTTAGACATAGGGTATTAGGGAATGATGATGGTAGATCAGTTGATCAGGTTGTAAATCTTCATCGACTAAGATGGTTGGGCCACGTGTTATGTATGCCTGAACACCGATTACAGCGACATACAACGCTGACTCAGTCAGTAGGAAGGATTTGAATGTGACCAACTTGGCCTCGTGTGCTGTTACGGGTATGAGGGCTAATGTCACTTCCCGGCTGCCCACACCGTGGAAGGGTATTTCTTGAGGAACCTGAAAAGGAAATTGGATTAGTGTTGGTCTTGACGACCTGGGAGCGTGACCGCAGAGCCCAAGGGACAACTGCTTGAGGCCGGTCGCGCACGGCCTTTTTGTGGAAGGTTTTTGACGTGTTAGCTCCGTTCTTCAAGGGGCCTTACCGCCGGAGACGGAAATCCGTGAGGTAAGGTGAGGTGTGCATTTTTAGGGTCGACCTTTTCTAACCCCACCCCTCCTTGTGGGAAGGCAGCATCGCTGTCATGCTGGTTGTCCGAGGGAAACACCTTACTGCTGTCACACCTCTCTACAGTCAGCAGTACGAAATCGCCCGCAGACCTTGAGTTACTGCTTTTAGTCTAACCGTTCACCAATCGACCTGCCTGGCATGGTAGAACCTACAGGAACATATGTTCCAGCCAATATAGCTCGGTTGGGTCATCGCGATAGGCAACGCTGACTAGTGTTGTGGATGGTTGGAAGAGAATTACGGATGGCCAAACCGAAACGTGGTATCAGTCCATAAAGTCACTAACTTCTAGTCTGAGTCATGTTGGTAGATGCAGACTATCGTACACAATGGTTGGAGACTTTTGATGACATGGCTCAGAATCGATCACAATGGCGTCGGTGTATACACTCTCTGTCTTTCCTTAAACTAAGAGATTAAAATCGCTTCATATCTTTCTTTCTACCAACTAATTCTTTCTTCCTGTACTATATCCTTATTACAATCTTTCTTTTATATATTACCACCATTGAATTAACTACTTCTATGAATCCGGTGTTCATCTTGTTGTGTTAATGAGATGTGAGAACTTGGACCGATGCATATATGTTGCTGGTCCTACGTTTAATCATGTTGGAACTGAGTTAATCAAAATTGAAAACTTGAACTAATCAATGGTCAGAATGTTGCTTTCTCCATATGAAATTCTTGAGGTTTATCTCGGATAGGGTTATGGATGAGTACTGTTAGGTCACAAACTAGTACATGATATGCTCTGTATTCCTGTTTGGTTTTCAATGATTCTTCAGTTGATTTCAATCTGTACTGAAAACAATGCTGAGGTTACTAGATCTAGATGGTAAAACTGCTTACTTACTTACTTACGCCTGTTACTCCCAATGGAGCATAGGCCGCTGACCAGCATTCTCCAACCCACTCTATCCTGGGCCTTCTTTTGTAGTTCCATCCAATTCTTGTTCATTTTTCTCATGTCTATCTCCATTTAGATGGTAAAACTAATGATGAACTAATTAATCTTTATCAAATGAGTTGGTCCAAACATGCATTACACATACCTAGAAACCGTCTGCTTCGACAAGCTCTTTTGTGTGATACAGCAGTAGATTAGAAGAAACGTGGTAATAACCAAATTAAAACGTGTTACTAGTCAATAAAACCACTAACTGTTGGGCTTATTCATGTTTATGGATGCAGAATAACTGGTTGGGGACTTCACCGATTCAGAACTAGTCACAATGGTGTAGATACATTGAAGATTTTTCCTCCAAAGATTTCCAGTTTCAAAACAAATTTACACTTTTATGTCCCAAAATCCATGCATTTTGTATCATATTTTCTATGTTTAATCCTTTCTACTTTCATGGAATTTGTTTACATGGTTTCAATTCGTTGTTCTAATATGATGTTACGACTTAAACCGATGAACATATGAGTCCACGTTTTATTTTTACATTTATTTATTTATTTAAACAAACAAACATTAGTATAGGGAAGTACCAATTAGATATGCGCCACAAATATCATTCGATTCGTGTGACGGCTTAGAAACTGTCCGGGTGCCCAAACTGAAACAGGTAGTTCTCTTAGAGAGCCACACTCGGAGCCTTCAGCCTAAAGGCCTGATCCACATTGCAGTGAAGCAACGTCAGGAGATGCAGTCTCATGGTAGCCGGTGACCAACAATAGGTTCATACGACATTTGTTTCCTTAGGGTCCTGGAGCTCATGTGAACGATTGGTTTGGAATCAAGGTTTTCCAACACTCGTAGATGGACCCTTCATATCCACCATCCCGATTAAATTGCCAGACATTCTCTTTTTATCCTTTCAATTTCGCAAAGAACACCTGCAGAAAGAAAACAGTGAGTAGGAATTCCCTGGTAGTGATTGTAGACACGTGGCCATGTGAGGGCATTTATTGAGGGAGGGCTAATTCTCCATACCTTCGACCATACTAGGGCATTTGGCGGCTCCAGGTTTTATGTTGCTTACGACAAACTGCTCACAACTCAAATGAATTAAACAGTGTCATTGTTGATAACTTCTTAGTAATCACTGTCATTATAATCTATTCACATATTTTGTTTTCTTTTTTTTTAGAAATGAATCCAAAACTTAATCCTCCTTCATACATGCAGAAACTGGATGATGTTCTTGTTGAAAATGGTAGGTTACTGTAATACAAATATTCTTAATTCCTTTTTCAATTTCTATGTTTTAATACAATTTCATACAAATGATAATACTGTACACTAAACCACATTAGGAAATAATCAACATTGAGGTTAACTATCATCATCGTCTGTTACCCTTTATGGAGGAGCCCCGGCATCCTCCATCCAACTCTGTCATGGATATTTACTTTCCAGTTCTGTCTAGTTGTTATTCAGGCTTCCCATGTCTGCTTCCAATTCCCGATATAGTGTATCATTTGGTCTCCCTCTTTTCCGTTTCCATTCAGGATTCCAAGTTAGCGTTTACCTCGAGATGCAGTTTGATGATTTTCTTAATGTATGTCTTATCCACTTCCAACGTCTTTTCTAATCTCCCCCTCAACTGGAAGCTGGTTTGTTCCCTCCCACAAAGGGATGTTGCTTATGGTATCCGGCCAACGAACATTGAGTATATTGGTAAAATAGGGTATCGGGTACATAGGCGCCACACAAGTCACTTCATTTGTATGTGGGCTCAGACCGAAGCAGATTGTTTTCTTAGGGCGCCACTCCCGGAGCCATTAACCTAAAGGTTTAATCCACAAGGCAGTGGAGCAACGTTAGGAGATGCAACCCCATTGTAGCTGGTGACCAACGATTAGTTCATACTCTACTTGTTCTTTCAGGATTTTGGAGATGATTGGTTTAAAATCTGGGTTTTCTAACTCCTCTAGGTGGATCTTTCGTATTCACCAACCCGGTTAAATCGCCGGATATTCTTTGTTCGTCCTCTCAGTTTCGTAAGCAACACCGCGTTTTAGAGAAAGCAGTGGGTAGGACTTCCTTTGGAGTGGCTGTATACACATGTCCATATGAGAGCATTTGGGGAGGAAGATCTAACTCTCCCCACCCCCGACCGTAACAGAGCATTTGGGGGCGATGATTCAAGTAAACTATACCAAGTGGATTCATTCCTAACTTGCAAAACAATCTCATTAAACAGATTTTTACCAGACGAACATATTATATAATATTAGACTAGAATAAATCTTATCATAAGGAAAAACAAATACAATGCATAACACACAATATATCAATTATTATCAGCATAGCGTTGTGGAGATTGATGAGTTTTAATTGAGATCATGTGCTCACCAGCGACTGGCCTCGAGAAGTAATTCTTGGAGTTCTAGTGAGAAGCCATGACTAACAGAGTTCAATTATGTCGGCTGTAAGGCAGTTACCCACTAAAGACAATGGAAGATGGTTACGCAAAATCTTGAATTGGTTGAAATTAGACACTAACACCACTGGACACCAGCTAAGTTGTCTAGAGGTTAGACTTTCACACACAAGATCAAAGATCTCGGGTTCGAATCCTGAATACGTGACCATAGATGTTCACTCTTGAGGAGTCCTATACTAGGACGAAACATGTAACCAGTGATTTCAAGTTTCCAATGGTGATCTAACATTGATCGACACATGATCTCAATCTCAATTACCATGGTAATTAAATTTCAATTTACAATTTTTTTAAATATTATGCAAATCAATTAACTGAAATACAAATGTTACGTTCAATCATCGAAACAAACAAACAAACAAACATTTTCAGTGATAATTTGAGAACAAAAACTCATTATACATTCATCTATATGACATATATATTTATATATAAGGTATAATTGACTACAGTAATCAAGGATTGATTACAATGAGATGAATGAATCAATAACAGTTTTCGACAGAGACTGAAATCAATCGTCAGAACATCAAGGATACGTGGAAAAGATACCTTGATATAAATTCATTTACGTGGTTACTTGACGGTCTTCTTGAATATCTGGGTTACCTGTACCTACCATCTAGATATTTTAGCAAGTTATCGATTTTCTTGTTTGTTTTAATATATACATCGGTAAGACTATCATTTATAGATGAATCTTGGCGCGAAATTCAGTTTTGACATTCTAGCTAATGTTAGTTTGTGATGAAAACACGAAATCTAATTCCTAAGCTTAATTCCTCACACAGGTTCATAATCCTTATTTGGTCCTGGTTATGCAGTGGACACTCTCGAGGTCAGTCTAGCGTCGCTCAAAGGTCGTTCATAAATCAATCTCACTACTGAACTTAAAGCTAGTTCAATTTAGATGATTAATCTTGGAGTTTAACCGTGAATGTAATACCATTCGATGAATAAATCAAAAACTAATGATTCATGTTTTTGCAAATTGACTTAATTTCACATGATATAGCCCCAGAGGGGGTCCAGACAGAGTTCGTGATAGACTATAGTGATCATTAATTCTTATATTCATTATCTTAATATTGGTATGGTTATTTATATAAATGACAGCTTTCTAAGATACTTTACAGATATTTCTCTCAAAACTATGCACTCATGAATATATGATAATTATTTTGATATTATTATTATTGGATTTATTCAATATTATATTTTGGGTACAATATAGAATTCTCAGTACGAAGCATTTCAACAAGTTTCCGTTTCTTATTTCTTGACCAATAATGACGATGACATATTGAGTGATCGCCAGTTAGATGCCCTGGTACGGTTGAAGGTAGGGAGAGTCAGCTCTCACTTTCGAAATGCTCTCACATGGCTACGCGTATACAGCCACTCCAAAGGAAGTTCTACTCACTGCCTTTTTTACAAAGGGAGTGTTGTTTACGAAATTGAGGGGACGACAAGTGAATATCCGGCGAATTAACCGGGATAATGGACACGGTGGGACCACGTAGGAGAGCTGAAAAACCCTGATTTTAAACTAGGATCCTGAAGGAACAAATGACGTACGAACCTATTGTTGGTCACCAGTTACCATGGGATCGCATCTCCTGACGTTGCTCCACTGCCATGTGGATTGGACCCTTAGGTCAAATGCTCCGGTTTTGGCTCCCTAAGAAAACCACCCGCTTTGGTTTCGGCACCCGGGCAGTATCGAAAACCGCCCACAAATGAAGTGATTTGTGCATTCGATGCCCTTCTTTTACTAATAAATAACATGGTCTAGTATTATTTTTATTTCAACACATAGATATTGGTACAATAAGGCACCAAAACATATGCGCCACACAGATCTCATTTGATATGTGTGAGGGCTGTGATACTGCCTGGGTGCCCGAACCGAATCAGGTGGTTTTCTTAGGGTCCACACCCGGAGTCTTCGACCTAAAGGTCTGAGCCACAAGGTAGTGGAACATCGTAAGGAGATGCAATCCCATAGTATCCGGTGACCAACAATAGGTTCGTACGTCATTTGTTCCTTAAGGATACTGGAAATCATGTGTATCATTGGTTTTGAATCACGGGTTTTCAACTTTCCTCGGTGAATCTTCCGTATCCACCAACCCAGTTAAATCGCCGGCATTCGCTTTTCGTCCTCTCAATCTCGCAAATAACGCATAAACCTCAAAGAGGCGGTGAGTAAAACTTCCTCGGTAGTGGTTGTATGCACGTGGTCATGTAAGAGCATTTGGAGACTGAGGACTGACTTTCCCCAACCTCGGTTGTACCAGGGCATATGGAGTTCTGTAGGAACAAAATCGGCATGAATCTGGCATGGGACACCCTAGAAATGACAGGCTTCAAGAGGTATTTCCTGAAGTTCTAATCAAAAGCCATGACCAGTGAATTTCAACAGGATCTGTTATGAGATAGTAACTCGCTGAAGACAATGATGGATAGTGACGTAATTTCGTGAACTGGTTGAAGTTAAACATTAACACGGTTGGATGTCGACTCTATGTTTTTAGAGGTTAAACGTTCACATACGAAACTGAAGATCCTTGATCGGATTCCCGCATGCATGATCATATATGACCACTACTGAGGAACTATATACTAGGACGAAACAATCGTCCAATGTTGTTAGACTTCCCATGATTGTCTACTATTTATTCATTCATAAGTTCAATTGTTTTCTATTAATTACATAACTTAAACTGTACTATTTCTTTATTTTCTTCTTTTACATCAAATCAAATAAGAAATGAACACTGAATCATTTAAAACCATAAAAAAATCTAATAAATTCAATCTAAACAAAACTCCTGATCATGATGAAGATTGGACTATTCATGATGGATCTCGTAGATTTACACCAATTTTATCATCACCTATATCAATCAAAACACCACCACCACCACCACCACCATCTCAATTCCAATCTCAATCTCAACTTCGACCCTTATCACCACCGCTACCACCAATACCCCCAACAACTATACCATTAATTGAAAAAATTAATCAATTAACTACTATCAATAAATTCAATGAAATCATTCAACCAAATTATAAAGAAAATCTATTTACTGAACAAAAATCAATATGGAATAAAGCGAATAAACCATTAACTCAATTCAATGAACAATTACCACCTAATTATTCAAATAAATTGAATCATCAACGTATTATACATAGTACACCATGTAGTCCTACTATTGAAAGAAATATCCTTATTAAACCTATTCATAATCATGAAGATGATGATGATGTTCTATTAAGAAATCATAAAAAATCATCAATTGGTTTACCACCACGTCCATTAAGATCACCAATTATACGTTTAAATGGTCGATCTATGTCACCAATTCATTCACGTATATCACCATTACCATCTTGTATCAATAATGAAGTAACTAAAACTAAACAAATTGATCCTATTACTGGTGAAATTCAATATATCACATCTAGAACAAGATCATATACTGATTTAAATACTAATCAATTAATTACAGAAATAGAAGAAAATATACAAGGTGAAGGAGATACAGAAGTAAGAGTTGTTCGAAGGAAAACACGTAAAAGTAAGTGACATGATATATTGTGATCAGTTGTATTATAGATAACCCTTAAATGCTCTGGTTACGGCCAAGGGTAAGGAGAGTTAGCGCTCTCTCTCTCTCTCTCTTTATCTCTCTCTTGAAATGATCTCACATGGTCATACGTACGTCACCACTGCCAAAGAAATCTTAATCACAGCCTTCTCACGAAAACGGGTTTTGTTTAAGAAATTGTGAGGATGAAAAACGAATATCCGGTTTGGTGAATCCATCTAGGGCAGTAGTAAAAGATTGATTCTAAACCATTGATGTACATGGGTTCTAGGATTCCAAGGGAACAAATGGCATATGAATTAATCATTGGACACCGGATACCATGGGACTGCATCTCCTTACATTACTCCACTACCTTATGGATTAAACTTTTAGATTGAAAGTCCCGAGTGTGGCTCGGTCTAAGCTACCAGGCAGTATCACAGCCTATATACAAATGTTTACTACATATGTATTCGGTGCTCCTTTGTACCAATATTTATGTGTTCAAATAAATAAATAATGTATTATTGATTTCAGCATGTAAATTCGAGATTACTGATTTATGAATAAGACTATAATTTATGCACCATATATGAGCGATGCTAAAGTGATTTTGGTGGAGTTTTGTTCTCTGAGTTGATGTTGTCGTTCAGAATAACGATGAAAGCTCCACGACCAAACCATCTAGCTCAGAGAACAAAACTCCACCAAAATCATCCAACTGAACTACCAATCTTCTCCACCATCTCAAGATGTTAAAGTGACTTTGAGAATGTCCACCTAATTACTATGAACCTGTGTGAAGAATAAAGAATGTGATTTACAGTTGATAGTTACATTTAAAGGTTTGCATCATGAAGTGAGATCAGTTAAAATGTCAAAGCGTTATTCAATCAAATGAATAAGTGAATTTTGCGTCGAAATCTGATTGATATGTCTATAAATTATAGAATTGAGAAAAATTAATCAAATACAACATGGAACCTGGTATGTATTTACACAGGTTCAAGTTATCATTACCTCATTAGTATAGAGTAATGAACTTGTTAGGGTAAATCCCACAGTAGTTTACTTAATAGAAAGTATTAGGCATCTAAAATACAATCAGAGACTATAAAAATGACTTGTTAAATCTGATTGGAGTTTTTTTTAACAAGATTTTTTTCTACGAGATGGGGTTCTTGACCTCATGCCTAACCCTGACCCTTTACTAGTACAGGGGTTGTGGAGATTATTAAGTTTTTGATTGAGATCATAAATCGATTGATGTTAGAGCATCTTTGGAAACCTGGAAGCACTGGAAGGCCGTTTCGTCCTATTGTGGGACTCCTCAGCAGTGTGTATCCACGATGCCGCTCGTGGGACTCGAACCCAGGGCCTCTCCCTTAACCCGGGCTTAAGACCGGCACTAACTCGAGAAGAGCTGAAGGGGAAGTTACGATAAGAATTAGTGAAATAATAACAAAAAATACTTTATGATGAATCTAAGACAAGACGAAGTGGGAATACACACTTGTTATTTCAAACAGTTTTGAGTCATTACATTCGAAATCTTTAACTTTTTCGTAGTAATCATGATCATATAGACTCTTCATCTACTTACATGACTCAATCTAACAATCAGTATATTCATCATTCTATTGAATGATTTCTAGTCAATATTTAAGAAATCTTAAAAGACAGTTTACAATCTAAGCCTTTTCTAAAGTTAGCCCTTCAGTTGAAATGAAGGCAAGACTATAATTTATGGATGAAGTAATTAGGTATAAGAAAACAGGTGTCGGATTTCGGAGCGACATTCATTCATTCATTCATTCATTCAGTCAGTCAGTCAGTCAGTCAGTCAGTCGGATAAATAGAGTTTAAGCAGTGATTTAATGATAAAATTGTTTAAACAATAAGATTATTTCTATTATTGAATATCATGAATGAACAGTTGAATTTAGAGTCAATCAGTCAGTCAGCTACAACGTAGGACCAGCAGTATATATGCTTCGGTCCAAGTTCCCATACCTCATTAGCACAACAGGACTAATATCAAATTCATACAAGTAGTTAATTCAATAGTAGTAGTATATAAAAGAAAGATTGAATTTGAGGATAAAGTACGGGAAGAATGAATTAGTTGATAGAAAGAAAGATATGAAGTGATTTTAATCTCAGTGTTTAAGGGAAGACAGACAGTGCATACACCTATGCGATTGTGATCGATTCTGAGCTATATCACCTAGAGTCTTCAACCATCGGTTACGATAGTCACATGGACCACAAACAACTAGTCTTCATCTATCATGAACATGACTCAGACTAGAAGTTAGTGACCTCAAGCACTGATACCACGTTTCGGTTTGGCCACCCCTAATTCTCTTCCAACCATCCTTAACACCAGTCAGCGTTGTATGTCATGGTAATCGGTGTTCAGGCATACGTAACACGTGGCCCAACCATCTTAGTCGATGGAGATATACAACCTGATCAACTGATCTACCATCATCATTCCCTAATATCCAGTGTCTAACCTCACTATTACTTACTCGGTGATCCCAGTAGATGTGAGCAATACTTCTAAGACATCTTTGATCAAGTACTAGTAGCTTACGTTTATATAAACATTAGCTAAATATCACGAATGTAAATCATGCATGTAAACCACCACAGAGTCTCATATTAGGACGAAACAGTCGTCCAATGCTTCCAGGTTTTCATTTTTGGCGTCTAATATCGATGATCGATTCATGATCTTAATCAAATCTCCATAATCCTATATTGATAAAATGTGAACATAATCGATCATAAAATATAAAAAAAGGAAGTATGAGTTGTGAGGGACTAACGAATATCTTTACTGATTTGTTATCTTATATTTCCATTGATACATTAGAAACAAGATATCAGTGTTTTAATATTATAAATTTAGATGAGTTTACTACGGAATAATAAGCTATATGGCTATGTAGAGCTGAAGGTCACATATGAGACTGGAGGTTCGCCATCGGTATTGTGGATGATTCGGCATTACTTTGGCAAGTTTTGCTGACTGTTCATGCACAAAATTGGTTTGTTGGTTAACAGATTTCATCCGTACTGGTGATTGCTTTTCAGTGTTCTTGAGGTTCATTGTCATTGGGACACTGTAAGGCATATCGCCATCGCTAACATTATTGTGCTTGACTGTCGTGTAAGCGGAATAGGTGAACTTTGGCCTGTTCGTACTGTGCATAATTGATTCACTCGATCACTGATCGGAATAACTATACATGTGATGTGAATGTGTATATGAATGTGTTATGTCCCGACAAGAATAATGAATGGTAATTTTGGGATCCATTTGTGGACCAATACTATGCGTATATTTTTATCGTGTAATTGTTAAGTAACCAAAGTACATAGATTCATGTCTCTCTTATTATGAACTTGATTTTGACCTATGAACTGTTATTATACGATTTACCATTCTTGAATTATTCCCTATCTATTAATCACTGCCTCTCTCATTTACATCCACTTTTGGCCAAATATTGTACAAATGTTACTTCCTATTTTATGGTACGCTGTGGTCTCTTTGATTTGTATATTAACCGAGTATGTTTGTAATACATGATTCATATCGCAGAGGCTTGGATTGGTGTTCTGGACTTAACAGGCAGTGCTAGGCGGGAAGCAGGACCAATTAGAACTCTAAACTGCTCGCACGTGTTTAACGCGTCATTGGTCCGATCTATAAGCCACTGCTCTCTCATTGGCGGTCACAAGTTATAACAGAATGGTAAGAATGGACCACCAGGGTGCTTGATACCTGTGTGGTTGAGCCACAGGATTGAGCTGTACTATTCAGATTGTAACGTTAAAGCCTACATGGTGTCTGGTTCTCCTGTGAAGCGGGATTGAGCTGGACTGTTTGGATTATAAAATTTAGGACTGTGAGGTGTTTGGCTCTCCTGTTAAACGGGATTGAGCATTACTGTTTGGGTTGTCATGTGAGAGTCGGGATGGTGTTGCTTAACTATGATTCATTTATAAAAATCATGATTGTTCTATCGACAGTGCAGCTGATTGATTTTCTTTTTAATGAGTGATGTATTCGAAATTCATTAACTAACAGATTAATTCTACATATTCACATGGTATTGTTGCTTACTTGAATCTTCCTATTGGTTTTTAGGAATGTAATTGATCAGCTTCTTATTGGCATATGTGCATACTGTGTGTATGCCTCCATATTGCCCTAATTTACAAGCATTATAAGCAAATATAGATAGTGGATAGCAGTGGAATCCAGTTTGACGCGCGTTTCGTTCTATTTTGGACTCGTCAGCCGGATGTCCCTGCATCTCGGAGTTGTTGTTTACTCTAAGACTCGAACCCAGTTCCGTTCACTTCAGACATCATCGCGTTATCCACTTAGCTACTGAGTCCTAATAGTCACTTATTTATGTAATGGGATGAAGTTTACACTCACTCGGCATTGTTGTTCACTTGAATCTTCTCATTGATGTTTAGCAGTGAAAATGATCAGTGTCTTATTGGTATATATGCATACTGTGCCTATTACTTCGATATTTCCTTAATTCGCAAGCTTTATAAACAAAGATGGGTAGTGCTTAGCAGTGGATTTCAGGATGTGCGTTTCGTTTTATTTGCATAGTGTGATAGCGTTTAAAGTGAATAACACTGTGTTCGAGTCCCGGAGTCAACATCATAAGTTTGGGATTCAGATACATCCAGCTGAGAAGTCCCAAATAGGATAAATCGCACGTCAAACTGAAGTTCACTGCTAGATATTATCCATAGTTACTTATAATTCTGCAAATGTTTTACAGAAGTTTTATTATTATCACTATCACTTCTTTTTGTATACTTTTGAATTGATTTAGTAAAACCGAATACTTGTAGAGAATCACGAAGTGTGGACAGTTCAGGATGTAAGTTTCATTATTTATTTGACTATATGGTTCATTGTTAAATATAAACGTACCGAATTTTTCTAGCAAATTCAAATCTAAGACTGTCTATCCTAAGCATGGTGCAGAATGGATGATGTAACTTTTCTATGTTATCTTTTGTTAAGTTATCCTGAAAGTTGATTGCAGATACAGGAAGAGGCCGATCTAATTGATACCATAGAAGCTGGCGAATTGGTATATACACAGAATTACTTAGTTATGACAACTTATCTTTGACCCGAACCATATAAATAGATAATAGTGATACAGTATAAGAAGAAAGTTATATACATAAACCTTGTGTTCAAGCTAGATGATCCCGGTGATATACTTGTAAATTGTCTGAAGTGATCTTTTCAAAAGACGTTTCTCACAGAGAATCCTCATATAACATATCCAAGATTATCGGCCTGATGAACAAAATGGTTCAGTTACACCTGATCTCTAATATGTAGTACCATTTTAGTAAATTCAACTTGATATTCATCACTGAGCTTCTATTCTCAGTGCACAATCTCGCATGTATTGAAATAATGAAACTCTTTCAATATTCTGTTGTGACACGTATCAGAACAAGTGGATAATCTAATTAGTGTACACTGCTAACTTGATCAGGTAAAATGATCTTAGATGAGTTTCTACAACCAAAGTGCCTTTGAAAGAGTTGTGATCGATTTAGTTTGAAAATAGAGTGATAAGTTTGAAGCGGTTACGAGTTCACTTTATCTGCGAACGGAACAAAGACTCAGTGACCAAAGACCAATAAGCTAGCTATTCGATACGTCCCAGCCCCGCTAAGTAGAGGAATAAGTCCACGCTTGGAATGAGGAAGTATATTCCGCAAAAGCCAGAAGCACGAGCGATAAAAACAGGCACAAATCAAAACGTATATATACACAGCACAAAAACGTTCTCGCGGAGAGTTAAAAAAATAGCTTACTAAAAGACACAACGAACCAATAGCACTTAAGATTCTCCAAAGTAGGAAATACGACATGAAGGTGAAAAGAGAGCTTTTGGCACGAAAACAAATTAGGTCCTTTCCCAAGTGAGTTCTGGGGATCTAACGTCCCCAAAATAGAGATAAGTTTATCATTGATAACAGTGGATACTCATCGATTTATATAATCCATTGACTGAGGTTAAGAACCAATGCGAATGGATTACAACTTACTTGTTCAAGGGTAATGACCACGTAAACAATTTCAAATCTCCAAACATCACCACAACCATCTAATAAACTAGTCTATGTTAGTCTATATGTTAAACATAACTGAAGTAAACAGTCGGTTATCAATATTATTTTGATGATTTATTAGTTGTGAAAGATTCAAGAATTCGTCAATCTACAGAACAAACACAAAATGATCAAAGTAAGTGATATAGAAACAAACTATTTGATTAGTTATGTATTTGTATAACAATTCACTTGTCAAACTACCTATTCACAATTAAACATACCTCAGTGGTATGTGCTACTGATGTTTAGAGACATAAGTAGTATGTAACACCGATAGAAAGTAAGATACGTGGCGGTAGAAGGTTAAGAAATTTGAAGACAAGGGAATGAGAGCAAAGAATGATTGGTGTGAATACGAAGGAATAATCAAGTATGTGATAACTGATGGATATTTTGCAAATGAAGTATTTACTGTATGGCTCTTAACCATCTACAGTCATCATCAAGGAGGTACAAGTATTTATAGATGGTTGTCTACCCAAGATACTCAACATCCATTGGCCGGATGCCATCAACAACAGCCTTCTCTAGAAGAGAACAAACCAGCTTCCAGATGAACAGGAAATTAGGAAAAGACGATGAATATGGATAGGAATACATTACGCAAATCATCAAACTGCATCACAAGGCAAGCCCTAAGTTGAAATCCTGAAGGAAAACGCAAAAGAAGAAGACCAAAGAGCAAATTACATCGCGAAATAGAATTAGATATGAAAAGGATGAATAAAAGCTGAAAAGAGCTGGAAAGGATTGTTGAGGATAGGGTTGGATGGAGAGTGTTGGTGGGCGGCCTATGCTACTCCATGAGAAGTAACAGGCGTAAATAAGTAAGCCTCAGATTTTACTAAGAGATTCTGTAGTTCTGTGTTTAAATATGTTTGGTTGTCCCCAGCCTGTGTTCTCGTTCACTACAGATCCGTTTTAAATCAAGTCAAAATCAGTATTATTGAAATAAAAATGATTATTACTTACTTACTTACTTACTCACGCCTGTTACCCCTCGAGGAGTAACATAGGTTGCTCATCAGTATTCCCCATCCAACTCTGTCAAGAATATCTCCTTTCCAAATGTTTCCAGTTACTATTCATCCTTTTCATGCTTGATTTTAGTTCTCGACGCACTGTGTTCGTCGGCCTTCCTCCATTCCGTTCCCATTCAGGATTCCAAGATTGCGCTTACCTCGTGATGCAGTTTTTGATCATTTCTTCGATATACGTCTTATCCACTTCCATCGTCTCTTCTTAATCTCCTCCTCAGTTGAAAGTCGGTTTATTTTCTCCCACAGTAGACTGTTACTGATGGTAATGTTTAAATGAAAATAGGCTTCTCATTGTACCTTCCTTTAAAAATACATAGATGTTATTTATTTACTTAGAACAAAATGAAAAATTTATGTTTTCGATTGAGATCATGAACCGATTGATGCTAGACCACCATTGAAAACATGGAAGAACTGGACGGCCGTTTCGTCTCATTGTGGGACTCCTCAGCAGTGCGAATCCACGATCCCACTCGCGGGACCATATGCTCACTAGTGACTAGCTTCATGAGGGAATTTTCGGAGTTCTAGTCAGAAGCCGTGTCCAGTGGAACTATTCCGTGTCGGATAGAGACAGGTGTCTCTCTCAGTACAATGGAAGATGATCGCGCAATTTTGTGAATTGTTTGAGGTCAAAGATTAACACCGTCGGATGCCGGCTCGTAGTCTAGAGGTTAAGTGTTCACGCGCGGTAATGAAAGACCTGGGTTCGAACCCCATGGGCGGGATTGTGGATGCGCACTGAGGAGGAGTCCCACAATAGGATGAAAGGGCCTTCCAGGTTTTCAATGTTAGTCTCACATCAATCGGTTCATAATCTCAATCAAAAACTTAATAATCCCACGACTTTTTACTGACAAAAATTTATGAACAAAATTTTTTTTCTTCAACTACATACTATTCATCAGTTCAACGTGATTCAAGAACTCATCAACGTACAGAAGAAACAAAAACTGAAAAACGTAAGTTCGTTTTTTAAAAACATTATTATGTAAACATGCACATTTGAATAAATGACCTACTAATTCAAAGACTGGATGACTTTGAATTATTGAACAATCAATAAGTTTTTAATCAACGATGGAGTCCCGGAGTGAACATCAACAAGTCTGAGATGCAGGTATATCCAGCTGACGAGTCCCAAATAGGACGAAACGTGCATCAAACTGGATTCGATTGCTAGACACTATCCATCTTTACTTAAAACGCTTGTGACTTAAGGCTATATCGAAGCAGTCCGCTAAGGACCCACATACGTCTATAAGAGATTGATCAGTTCCAGTCCTAAATAACGATGGGAAGTTACAAGTAAAACAACACCAAGTGAATAAATAAGTTTGTTGAATGTTTATCTTTAATATTGATCAAGGTTAACAAGAGAACTAGCGAAAACCATCAATTACTGGTTATTGATTTCATTCTGATATATAGTACATTTTGTTACTGTATTATACCCTTTACATCATATAAGGTAAATTAGATATGTTTTTAGTTGTTAGAGTACAGTCCAATCATGCTATACCTTAGTATCTATAATACTAAAACCAGTGAATTGAGTTCATGTTCTATGGGAATCAGAAAGGTTTCATGTATATTAGTGGATGACCTTAGAGCAGTAAGATAGATTATCTAGAATTGAAATCCCTTTCACTTTATTCTTTGAAGGTCGTACATTTGATCTATTCAACAGCCATAGGTTTAGATCATTTGGGGGGGGGCAAGACAGTCATCAACACTAGAATAAGAAATCTTGATGATTTACACATAATATAGATTTTATGATTAAAGTTGTTGACGTCCAGTTACCAGATCTCAAACTGAAACCCAACTTTTAATCGATTCAGTCTTGAGTAACAGAGTGATATCGTTATATTCGTAAGTAATTAATCAGTAGAAATTTTTCATTCGTAAATAAAGTTAATCATGATTTAAATAGTGTGATAGTAATCTCTTGAGCTATAACATTTGGTGATATGAATTCGAACTCCATAGGGAACATAAATAAGCTTTAGATTGTAGTCATGTCTTCCTGACAATTGTCTCCGTTATATCTAGAGCCTAGATTGTTAATATACTGCGTACCACTTGAGCACTCGAACGCTAGAACCCACCTAAGTCGCAAATGAGAAGACAAAAGACAAGTGAAAGGAATGTCATTCCAAACAGTGTCAATTATGGTACAAAACTGTCAAGTATTTATAGTTTTTAGTAAAAACGAAATCATCATTATAGTCCTCCAATCTGCATACATGGGGGTTATTATCATTTGTCCGATAGGAAAGCTACACGTAGGGATTCTGGAATATTCTCAAACAAGACGACTGGATGGAATATCTTCGGCTCTTTCTGAGCTTCTTAGAGATTCCTCAAGTTCACCAGCGGGCCTTCCTCACACCTCCCTTCTTTAAAGTTTGGTGTGTAATACTTTTTCATCGGGTCCACCTGAAACTTGGTTACCGCATCAACTAGATGATAATTCATTAAGCATTTTATTTACTTATTTATTTGAACACATAAATACTGGTACAAGGGGGCACTAAATACATATGCGATACACAAATCACATTTGATATGTGTGAGGGCTGTGATACTGCCTGGGTGCCCGAACCGAAGCAGGTGGTTTTCTTTGGGGGCCACACTCGGAACCCTCGACCTAAAGGTCTGATCCACAAAGCAGTGGAACGACGTAAGATGTAGTTCAATGGTAGTCGGTGACCAACGATTGGTTCATATGCCACTTGGTCCCTCAGGAATTGGAGACCATATGCACCATTGGTTTAGAATCACGATTTCCCAGCTCCCTTAGTTGGACTCTATGTGTCCACGCACCAGGATAAATTACCGGACATTCGCTTTTCGTCCTCTCAATTTCGAAAACAACACATGTGGTGCGAGAAGGCAGTCAGTAGGACTTCCCTTGCAGTGGTTGCATTCACGTGGCCATGTGAGAGCATTTGTGGAGGGACAGTTGACTCTCTACCCACTCTCGGTCGTACCATGGCATTTACGGGCAGTGATTTACATGTTACTCAACGATTAGTTACCATGGGAATTTCTTTTTCGAAATAAACTTTTAATTGTCAGTTTTCTTTTTCTTTATCATCTCGATTGAGTTTGATTCTCATTTTCAGATATTGAAGAAGAGTTAAATTATCAATGCTCTTCAACGAAAGGTAAACTATTCTTCTTTTCTCTTTTTAAAAAAGATAAAGAATGTTTGATTAATTGATTTAACCTCATTTTAAACACCATAGTAACTAGAAATGCTGATTCAATATTGACAAGAATATTTCCTGTCACAAATGTCTATCATTCAGATTTAATTTAAAAAGAGTACTCGTTTGAAGTGGATTGAGAGGGGTGTGAACCGGAGGGGGGGTGGTATTAGATTTTAGTAAATGAAGTCTTTAATTACACATTTATTATGTAAATATACAATATAAATTATATATTCAAACCTAGTGCGATGTAAGCTACTTATATCGATATATAAGTAATATATAAGTAATATGTAACATTAATCGAGAATGGAATGTCTTGACGAAGAAAATTGAGAAGATTGAAGAGGAGAGAATGGGAACACAGAGGGATTGGTATATGAAAATGAGGGGACAATAAAGTCTGAGATAAATTGGTAGATGTTTTCCAAATGAAGTATTGTATGTATGATTGTGTAATTTTGCATTCAAATACATTCGGTTGTCCCCCATGTGTGTTCTCGTTCATTACATCACGAGATTGTAAAATTGCTCACTCTGAAAGGGGTTAACTGTAAATCTGAGTTGGAGAACAGACAGTTATTTATTATGGCATACGAAAGCTGAAAAAAATCTTGACCATTACAGCACGATTCATTGGTTTCATATAGTACTGCTCTAACCACATATATTGAAAGTACCAAGTTTGTTCCGGTATTTGGCTGTTCTATCCTTATATTTCTAATCTATGGTGGTCCAACTGCATATCTTCCTTTAGAGTTCATTAAAATTGTCAATAATATCAGTTTATGATGAAAATTACATATATAAAGTAAATGTATATTAGGTGAAGCATCAGTGTGTGTTAACTGAAAGGCGCAAAAAACTGTGTATAAGTTTGAATATATTAAAAGACATCATCAGCCCAAACTTCAGGAAGAAGTGAAATGTTAGAATTTCTTTACTTCTACCTGAAATTTGGGCTGATGATGTCGTTCAAAAGAACGATGAAAGCTCCACAATCAAATCATCCAGCTCAGAAGACAAGCCGCCATCAAAATTGTCCACCTGAGCTACAAATCTTCTCCACCATCTCAAGAATTACTCCCTCACCACACACACACACTGATAGAACTATATATATATTCACAGTTATATAATATACCCTTGTGGGCTAGGGTAATTTTAGATTGGTTTTCAAGAGAACCAGACACCATCCGGACTTTCACGTGACAACCCAAACAGTACAGCTCAATCTCGTTTAGCAGGAGAACCAGACACCATATAGGTCTTAACGCTACAATCTGAATAGTACAGCTCAATCCTGTGATGCAACCACACAGGTATCAAGCACCGTGGTGGACCATTTACACCATTCATATACACATTCACATCACATGTATAATTATTCCAATCAATGATCACATAAATCAACTGTGCACAGCATGAACAGGTCATAGTTGACTTATTCCGCTTACACGACAGTCAAACTCATTAATGTTAGCAATGGGGATATTGCTTACAATGTCCCAATGACAATGGCCCTTGACAACACTGAAAAGCAACCACCAGTACGGATGAAATCTGTTAACCAGCAAACCAATTTTGTGCATGAACAGTCAGCAAAACTTGCCAAAGTAATGTCGAATCATCCACAATACTGATGGCGAACCTCCAGTCTCATATGAGACCTTCAGCTCTACATAACCATATAGCTTACATTATTGAATAATTCATTGCATACTAAAATGATGCAAATGTTAAGTGGTATTTGACGTTGTACAATTGTTCATGATCAAATCTGATTAGTATTTATTGCTTATCAACTATTTTTAATCATCATATAATCCTAATAATTACAACTTATCATTGTTCTATTTTCAGTCAGTTATATTGATTTATGTAAACATGGTATATTTGACTTGGTTCTGCTCAATTTTTTTTATCAGTTAGTCAGTCGGTAACAACGTAGAACTTCGTACGTACGTACGTACGTACATCAGCCTGAGTTGCCACACCACGTTGATCATTGATCATTCATTCTGAATGCATGATTTGAATTATTATTTTTTTGTTTTCTACCGGAATGGGTCGATAACGCTATGCCCAATCCTCTTACTTTATTTAACCTTAAAGGCGGCAGTAGCTCCAGAGGGGCTCCACGGAGAAGTTATCCTAAATGCATGTATACTTTTATTATCAGATAGTATTATTAATATAGTGTATGTTGAATGATTTTGGTCTTGTATGATTGTATTTATTTTGTTGCATGATTATGCATTGAATGTACATCATTAAATGAATGATTCCAATCGAAAGTAGTTAAAAAGAGTAAAGTGGCTTTTATTGTCAGTTCTGTGAACTTATCAGAATTCTGTACAGTCGTCTTACTTTTTGTTTCTTTCTTATAATGTAAATATTTTAATCGTTGAATTCATGAGTCAATTGAAGCTTGACCAGCATGAAAAACCTGGAAGCAAGGGACGGTCATTTTGTCCTACTATGAGACTTCTCAGCTGTGCGCATACACGATCCCACATGCGAGGTTTGAATCCAGGACCTTCTGTCTGTTACCTCTCATAGAGGACAACAGGCCATCTATCAACATTCTCCAACCAAATCTGTCATGAATGTATCATTTCCAATTCTTTCTAGTTGTTATTCATCCTTTTCATCCCTGCTTCTAATTCTCGACGTAGTGTGTTCTTTAGCCTTCCTCTTCGTTGTTTCCATTCAGGATTTCAAGTTAACGCTTGCTACGTGATGCAGTTTCTGATGATTCCCCTAATATATATCTTATCCACATCCATCATCTTTTCCTTATTTCCACTTCAACTGAAAGTTGACTTGTTCACTTCCACAGTAGGCTGTTGTTGATGGTACCAGATCAACGGATATTGAGTATCTTGTATAGACAATTGTTTATAAATACTTGTACCCATTTGACGATAGTTATAGTAGTAGTTCTCGAAGTTTCAGCTCTGTACAATAAAACTGCCTGTGTTCACGCTCGTATTGAAGATTGTAACATTGATATTAGTTAATAGACATTTGTTCTGAATTCCATATGCTTATATATTGTATACCTTTTGCCTTCATATCTTCATCCAATCCATCTTATTCATCGATAATGCTACCCAGATATATGAAAACTTCTATCTCGTTCAAAGTTTCTCTATCAAGTATAATTCAGTTGATGATCACCATGTTGTAGTTGTAAACATCATTGAACAAACCAGTTCATATGAATATTTCAAAACTTCAAAGAGTTGTTTTGAAATTCTTTCTTTAAAATGGAATGATTCAATGTTGAATAGCAATAATAGTAATAATAATAACATCATATGATCACTAGATATGAATGATTCTACTTCATAGATTCAACAATTAGGTATTTGTAGTGTGTTTAAGTATGCTTCATTCATCGTATATTGTTGTATACCTATGATAAGGTATGTATATACTACTGATATACTACTGGTATCTTTTATATAGTTTCTGTATATTAACTACTTTTCAATTACAAATGTATTTCTTTTTTTTCTAACAAAATTGATGTAAAGCTGACAGTTAATCATATGATCTGAGTAGCGGATAGAGAGAGAGGGAGGGGGGAAAGTAAAAGAAAGAGACAGAGAGGGGGGTAGTAAAAGAAAAAGAGAGACGCACACAGTAAAAACACAACCCATTTCATATTTGATATATTACTTACTTATTTACGCCTGTTACTCCTCGTGAAGAAGAATAGGCCGCTCACCAACACTCTACATTCAACCCTGTCCTCAACAATCCTTTCCAGCTCTTTCCAGTTGTTATTCATCCTTTTCATATCTAATTCTATTTCCCGATGTAATTTGTTCTTTGGCCTTCCTCTTTTTCATTTCCCTTCAGGATTCCATGTTAGGATTTGCCTCGTGGTGTAGTTTGGTAATTTCCGTAATGTATGTCCTATTCATTTCCATCATGTTTTCCGAATTTCTTCTTCAGCTGGGATCTGGTTTGTTCCCTCCCACAGTAGGCTGTCGATGATGGTATCCGCTCAATGGATGTTGAGTATTTTGCATAGACAACCATTTATAAATACTTATACCTTCTTGATGGTGGTTGTAGTAGTTCTCCAAGTTCCAGCCCCGTACAGTAGAACTGTTTTGACGTCCGTATTGAAGATTCTCACTGTGATATTGGTTGGGGGTTGTTTTGAGTTCTATATGTTCTTCAAGTGTAGGAATGCGACCCTTGCTTTGCCAATCCTTGCCTTTAGGTCTGCATCTGAACCTCCTTGTTCATCTCTGATGCTTCCCAGATATGTGAAGAATTCTACATCTTTCAGAGTTTCTCCATCAAGAGTGACTGGATTGCTGTTCTCCGTATTGAATTTGAGGACCTTGGTTTTCCTGTTGTGTATGTTGAGGCCTACTGATGCAGAGACTGCTGTTACACTATGTATGATATATCTATCATCATGACATTTATTTCGTGGAATATGAATACAATTACCAAAACATTATTACCGATCTTCTTTGTTCTGAGTGTAAAAAAGAATTCAGTTTTCTGTCAATAATGAACGGTGCCTAATAATGGAATCCAGGAAGCGTGTTTCGTTCTAAATTATGACTCGTCAATTGAATGTACCTATGACATGCCTGATCTGTTGATGTTCACTATAAGAATTATTATAATGATTGAATCAAATTCTCAAACACTATGTGATGATTAAAGTATCAGTTTCATTGTTCGTTTTAGAAGATTTTAAAATGAAATAGACGAAGTGTTCATTCTTCAGGACTACTCATTTAAGAACAAATAACAATTCTATAATTATATCATTCATTGATGTTCTTGAAATCTTTCGAATTTCTTCACAACATTCTGCTATTCTATTCAGTTAAATTTGAAGTTTTAGTCACATAACAAAGTCGACTCAGTGGTGTAGAGGTTAAGCGTTCGTGCGCGATACTAATAGCTCTTGGGTTCAGATCTTGTCAGGCAGGATGATGGATGCGCACTGTTGAGGAGGATGAAACGGCCGTCTAGTGCTTCCAGGTTTACCATGGTGGTCTAGCTTCACTTGACTCATGAATTCAGTTATTAAACAATGTTTACATTGAATTCCTTTATATCATACTGTTCTTATGACGAAGTTGTTTTTTTCTTTATTGTCTTTCTTTAAAAGTTCAACCTCAAAGAACATCAAGTCAGATGAATATTAGTGGACCTAGTACAATGACTAAAACTGCATGGTTGTCAGGTATGTAGAAATTATTCACTTTTAATTTATTAAATTTTACAGAATATATTGTATGTATTAAATTGCATTTAAACCTGAAATCAATCTAACTTAGACAATTGCTGAAAACTTTGAAGCACTAGATGGTCACTTCATCCTACTATAGGAGTCGTCATTAGTGCAAATCTATTATTTCGTGGCGGGAAGTCGAACCAAGTGCCCTCGGTTTCATGCGCGAACACTTAACGTTTAGTCTATTGAGTCGGAATTCAACGGTATTACTGACGAAATCTTTGAATGAATCCAAAAAGCTCGTTTGACTTTTGCCAACTTACGTCACCACCTATAGTGAAGGTAAGATATCCGTCTACCAAGTAAGGGACGAGTATACTGTGCAGCAGTTCGTTCTGTTCCACTTTACGGCTAAGAAATGTGGCCAGTTAGGGTGGAAGATAATCGTAAGGTAATAGTGTTTGATCACAGATGTCTTAGAAATATTGCCCGGATCTCCTGGGATCATCGGGAAAGTAATAATGAGGTTCGGACGCAGGGTATTAGGGAATGATGATGGTAGATCAGTTGATGAGGTTGTGAATCTTCATCGACTGAGATGGTTGGGTCACGTGCTGTGTATGCCTGAACACCGATCACCACGACGCACAATACTGACTAGTGTTCGAGATGGATGGAATAAAATTAGGGGCAGCCAAACCAAAACATAGCGTCAGTCCTTGAGGCCACTAAATTCTGGTCTGAACCGTGTTGGTAGATGCAACCTCCTTAGTTGGGGTAAGCGCGTCTGTCGTAATCGATGGTTGGAGACTCTGTGTGACATGGTTCAAAATTGATCACAATGGTGTAGGTATATAAACTCATTGTCTTCCCTTAAATTATGAGATTAAAATCGCTTCAAATCTTTCTTTCTACGAACTAATTCTTTCTTCCTGTACTATATCCTTATATGCAATTTTTCTTTTATATAATACAACCACTGAATTAACTACTTTTATGAATCCGGTGTCCATCTTGTTGTGCTAATGAGATGTGGGAACTTGGACCGATGCATAAATGTTGCTGACCCTACGTTGTAGCTGACTGACTGACTGACAGTCCACGACATTGGGTGATCATCTTTTATCACCTTCGGTGAATGACTATCTCATACCCAACCAATTTAGTTTCATCTAGCACAGATTTAAAACAATTAGACCCTTTTGTAAACTTTGATAGAGCAATAAGATGAAACAATTAACCTACAAATTATGGTCTGTTTGTGCTTTACTTTTCAAAACATCTATGAAAACGAATAAAGGTTACATAAATCAAAGTTCAAATAAACATAAAATGATAATGGTAAACAAAGGTAAGGGAAAAATAAGGAATACAATACAGAATATTCCTATAACATCATAGATCACAGTACAGCTTAAAGATTCCTATGGGTAGATTGTCTAGCTTCTATGAACCTAAGCCAGTGACCAACGATTGGTTCACACGCCATTTGTTCCCTCAGGATACTGGAGCCCATGTGCACCATTGGTTTGGAATCCGATTAAAGCGCCGGACATTCGCTTTTCGCCCTCTCAATTTCGTAAACAACACCTGTGATGCGAGAATGCAGTGAGTAGGATTTCTCTGGTAGAGGCTGTATACGCGTGGTCATGTGAGAGCATTTGGAGCGGGAGAGCGGACTCTGCCCACTCTCGGCCGTACCAGGGCATTTGAGGACACATGAACATGAGACTTGTTAAATTCAACGGGATGTGACGTAATCTGTTATGTAATGTCTAGGCCTATGTGAAACCATAGGTTTAGCAGAATAGAATGGTTTCTTAATGTCTACTTTTAGTCTCTTTCTCAAACTTATGATATTTGACTCTCTTTTAAATGTTAATATGAGATATATATCCTTTACTTCGTAACGGAATCCAAGAGTCTTCTTGTTAGCTTAGTTTTACACTAATTGATAAACTACAGCGAATAATCTTTTCGGTTAGCAGTTTTGTCACCTCCTCAGGTAGATTTGTAGTGTATATTCGTTGAGTTCTGTTGTATAGGCAATTTACCAAACGCCGTTTGTGGAAGTTCAAATATTTCCAAGCCCAGGTTGACATCCTATGAACGGATCGTTTTTATGTTTCATTCTTTTTTCGTCTAAAATTATGTCCAAAAAGGCAGTCGGTTATTGGTTTCTTCATTATAAGTAGGTGGTATCTCATTCTATACATTATCGAATTTGTCTAATAACCAAGATACGTGTAACTCCTTATTACATACGAGTAATATATCACTTATTAGCCTCCTATACAGAGTTACTTCGCTGAGGAGCTTACTTGTCTTACTTTCAACAATGTGGCATATGTACATCAACAAAGAGAAGTATGACACTTCGTTACCAACAGACATTCGTATACGTATCACAAAATAAACGCTTCTTGACCGAAATGACTGGAACATTTATCGATGTCGAGCCAATATCTATCAATACTGCTTAGCTTTAAATTAGTTTATAAAACAGTTATTGCGGCGGCTTACCCATGGGTTCCATAAAGTCCATTACTAACGAATTAATCTGTTTCTGTGGATATGATTAAGTGAGGGAGTTTGAGAGGGTGTGAAACTGTAATTAGCTTATTTAAAATCGATTTCCTTATTGTAGATGCATCAGTTTTCCATCTTGCTCTAGATCGTAGGTATAGAATTATTTCATTACTACTGTTATGTGTTTAAAAGACTGTTGAATTTGAAGCTTTACATAACTCAATAACTTTGACTAAACAACTGTTAAAAACTAGGCACAATTGAACAGCTGGCTCATAATGGAAACTCCACAGTAGTGCGTATCCACAACCACACAATAGGGATCAAACACGGATCATTCAAGTCTCTAGACGACCTTTAGTCAATCTCAAATCTTATGTATCCGTCTTGTTGCTCAACTATGAATATTCGTCATTTATCTCATCAAATGATAAAAATGTTGTAAATAGTCTCTATTGTAAAGTAGGTTTCTTCAAGAGTCAATTTATTAACATATATATAGACTATGGATAAGCTTTGAATAATAACGACAATCGGGTCTGTTGTGACATAGTAACTCACTGAATACAATGGTGAACGATAGTGCAATTTCGTGGGTTGGTTAAAGTTAGACAATGACAACGTTGGATTCTGATTAGTTCAGTGGTCTAGTGATTAATCGTTCATGCTCGAGATCGATAGATCCTGAGTTCTAATCCCACGACATGGGATCGTGAATGCGCACTGCTGAGATAGTCCCACAATAACCCATTATTACATCATATATGTTTTTTTTTGAAAAATTTATTTAGAAACCAATTTAAGGAATAGTTCAACATGCAAACAACCACCAATGTATTCAACTTATTCAGCTCATAAAGAAAATATGAGACGAATGCAAGAACAAAGAAGAACAACAGAAGATTGGGTAAGTTTAATAGGTCTCATTCTTCTTACTTTGAAGATATAATATCTGATCATTTTTGTACAAAACTAATTCATTAATCAATGATCAATTGTAGTTTGAATAATTTAGGATCGTACATTCATATTGTGGTGTGTGCTACTTATATTGGCATAAGTAGTAGATGATGTTAGTCGTCAATAGAAGGTCTGGCAGCAGAGAGACAAGAGGATCGAACAGTAAAGAATCGAAACAGAATGCAATTTGTATGAAAATGCAAGAACAATGAAGTCTGAGTCATTTTGAGTCAATCGATGGACATTTTGAAAGTTAAGCATTCACTATATGATTGTTAGATTTCATTAAGAAGTCCTGTAAGTGGTGTGTCAAATACAGTCGATTGTTCCCCCCCCCCGTGTTCTGTTCACTACAATATCTCATAGGTAATATCAGTTCCTGCAGACTAATAAACAATTCCCCTTTTATCTAACCAATACCAAACAAAATATGAGTTTCGTCGCAAACTTTGTATTGATTATTGAGAAATCTTCTCATATCTAACCATTTTAACCCTCAGTCAATAGAAGTGATTGGACTGATTAAAGTAGTAAAGAAAGTTTCTGACACAGTTTATATGACTTAACAAACTTCTATTCTTAATGTCAAATTCACTACTGAACAAAATTTGTATGTTTGTTTTTAGATGCGAAATAGTGTAAGTATAATTATGAGTTATGTAATATATTTTTTTGATATTTTGATTTCGAGTAGAGACAAGGTTATCCTTCGTGAAGGAGTATAGGTCACTAACCGGTACTCTCTATTGAATCCTGTCTTGGGCAATTGTTTTCAGTTGTTTACAAATTGCTATTCATCCATTTCATGTCTGTTTCCAATTCATGATATAGTATGTTCTTCGGCATTCCTCTATTCTGTTCCCTGTTATAACTTATGACCGCCAATTAGGGAGAAGCAAATTATCGATCGGACCACGAACGCGTAAAACATGTGCGAGCAGCTTAGAGTCCTGATTGGTCCTGCTGTCCGCCTAGCCCAACCAGTTAAGTCCAGAACACTAGTCTCAGCCTCCGTAATACGAATCACTATATTTCAAATATACTTAGCTTATATACCAATCAAACAGACTACAACGTACCAATAAAATATGAATCGACATTTATACAAGAATTAGCCAGATGTGGCTGTGAATGAGGGAGATAGTAATAGATAGACTGGGTATAACTCATGAATGGTAAAACGTATCATAATAGTTTATGGGTCAAAATAGACCTTATAATAAGAGGAATATGAATATGAATAGTTTAGGTACTTAATAATTATACAATAGAAATACACGATTAGTATTGGTCCATCAATAGATCCCAAAAGTTACCATTCATTATTCATGTCAAGACATAACATTCCCATCCAAGTTAGCGATTGCCTAGTGATACAGTTTGATGATTACCGTACGGTACGAAGATTTAATCTAAGCAGACCATATAAAAGACTAGTATAAGGCACATAATAACTATTTATGATTAAATGGGATAACTGTTTCATATCTGAGCTTTATAGTCTCCTCGCTGTGTTTTCCTTTTTTTTCATTAAAAGCATATTCCTTGAAGAATTTGATTATTTTCTAAGTGCTTAGTTACGTTTTGATGAAGGTTCCCGATATAAATCGAAAAAATACAAAAAATTACTGAATACCAGAAAGTATAAGACTTTCGAAGTACTACTGTACAGCTCAGCTACGATCTCATACATAGTCAAAAGTATAGAAACTTTAGGCCCCCAAATGCTCTGTTACGAACGAGAATGGGGAGAGTCCGCTCTCTCTCTCCGAATGCTCTCAAATGACCACGTGCATACAACCACTTCAAGGGAAGTCCTACTGACTGCCTTCTCGCACCATGGGTGTTGTTTACGAAAATGAGAGGACGAGAAACGAATGTCAAGCTCTTTAACCGGGTTGGTGGATACGGAGAGTCCACTTATGAGAGTTGGAAAACCCTCATTCTAAACCAATGGTGAACATGGTCTGCAGTATCCTGAAGGGACAAATGGCGTATGAACCAAGTACTGGTCACCGGCTACCATGGGACTGCATCTCCTAACGTTGCTCCACTACCTTGTGGATCAGACTTGCAGGTCGAAAGCTCCGAGTGTGGCCCCCTAAGAAAACCACCTGATTCTGTTTAGTCACCCACGTAGTATCACAGCCCTCACACATATCAAATGAGATTTGTGTGGTTCATATGTATTTGGTGCCTCCATGTACCAATATCTATGTGTTAAACTAAATAAATAAATAGAAACTTTAGACTTTAAAATAAGCGCAATACTACTCTTGTTTCTTGTTCTAGAGAGCTCATTGTGAGCAGTGGGGTAGAATCGTGAATACTCACTACTGAAGAGTCTCACAATAGGATGAACCTATCATCCAATTCATCCCTAACTCTTCCGACTAAAATCATTCTGTGATAGATATCATCATTTTTTTCTGTTCGTAGGGCTATAATCCAATAATTATCAGTATGGGGATTTGTGAAGATTGTATTACTTTCATAATCAATCTAGCTTGGTGTAGTTTAGATCTACTTAGATCTATCTGTGAATAAGCCAAAGATCTTGTAATAGTCATAATTTACGGTGAAGTTATTTTCAACTGTCTGTTAGTGTGGTGCAGTTCAATATACCAGATAAAAGACTAACTTACTTACTTTTGCCTGTTACTCCTCGTGAAGGAGAATAGGCCGATCACCAGCATTCTTCATCAAACCCTCTCCTCAACAATCCTTTCCAGCTCCTTTCAGTTCCTATTGATCCTTTTCATATCTGCTTCTATTTCCCGATGTAATCTGTTCCTTGGCCTTCCTCTTTTCCGTTTGCCTTCAGGATTCCAAGTTAGGGCCCTCCTCGTAATGCAGTTTGATGATTTGCGTTATGTATTTCCTATCCATTTCCATCGTCTTTCCCTAATTTCTTCTTCAGCTGGAAGTTGGTTTGTTCTCTCCCACAGTAGATAAAAGACGCTAACATAATCAACGGTTAGGCACTGAAGTGAAATCTTTGATGAAAATTCCACATACATTAAATAAGTCATATACCGATCGATAGTTCTGAACACGTTCCATTTGAAGAATATGAAGGTTGTCGAGGATAAGTTCAGAAGAGAAGTAACCTAAGAACTTTCAAAATTCACTATAAATAAATTAGATTTCTATATATGGTAATGATCATCATTCATTATGTTTATTAAATACTATTTTTTGTATAATGAATATTTTAGCAAGCTTCAAATAGACAATTACATGATTCCAGATCAGTGGGTAGTCGAGCTGTTTTAGAAGAAATGGAAACGATTACATTACAACCAATTGGTCGTGGTGTACACGATTTGGAACCACCAACTGGTTCTATAGCTAGATCAGTTCGTGCTACAACACCAAGTGGTTAGTTTTATTGTTTCTTCTTTATTATTTAGATGTAATTTCATATTTTATGAAAGTATGTCTATGGAATGAGTTCTATTATTAAGTTGAATTTCCCAAATCTATAAAATAGGTCATATAAAGTAATGGCGTTTCAAGCGAACGGTACTGAGTTCGAGTCCCTGAGCGAACATCAACAATTCTGGGATGTGTAGGTACACCTAATCGATGAGTCCCAAATAGGACGAAATGTGTGTCCTGGATTTCACTGCTAGTCACTATCCATCTTTGCTTACAATAGTTATGATAATCAGTATCGTCTAAATAGTTTATAAAAGGGTCAACTTTTGTGAGAATGGTAATAGGTTCATAATATTCCATTTATGCTTCGTGCGAAACCTTCATTATTGTATTACGTGATTTATTAAAATTCCCTATTGTCGTATTATTCATTGATGTATATGATGACTCTTCATCAAAATCTCCGCCGCTACTACCGATTGAATGGTTTAGTGAGGTCATTGAATTGGTTTCGTTGTAGTGACTTTGTCGCTCGACTAATGTTAAGAAGATGACCTAATTTGACTATTTAGGTGAAGTAAAAGTTGTAACAAGGTTTCTGTAGATGAACCTGTGGAAGGATCCATATCATGACCCAAAAATATATAATGAAGCATGCATCTGACTTCGTGTTGGACTGTATGTACCCTGGCTTAATGGTATTTACCCTAGGCTTCAGCGGACTCTTTATGGTACTTGTCTTTAATACTTTTATAATATATACATATCACTAATGGTACATAATTAACATTATAAGTATCGAGAAAGTGATGGCCTTCTTGACGATCATTTTGTAAAAATATCCACTAATTACATGTAATTATATACTTACATTTTGATGGAGTTTTATTCTCTGAGCTGGATAGTTTGGTTATGGAACTTTCATCGTTCTTTTAAACGACATCATCAGCAACATAAACTTCAGGTACACTTTTAATAAGATGTTTACATGAATATCATCAGTCCTATTACTGATTTAAAGAAAGAAAAAAACGGTTCTATATATATTACTTATGAAATTAAATTCAGTAGTGTTTGTAAAGGATGCAGTGGCCGGAATCGTCTAAAAGGATTTGATCAATTCCTGAGAATCTAAGAATCATCTATTAAATAACTTACATGATATCCCATATATATATACATATGTAGTGTTTTCTGTATGTAAACTGACCTTCATAATGTATCTTCCATATTTCCGCAATCCATTTGGTGTTGAAGTATCAAAGATAATAGAAGTTCAGGAAGCGGTTACTATGTCAGTATCTAAAGACTTCTATCTAATAATAGTGATATTCATTAGGGAATTGCAAATATGTTAACATAGTTACTAATGATAAATACTTCATAACAAATACTGTTCAATGATCAGAGTATATTGACATTTACCAACCAATTATTAATGTACATTGATGGTGAAACTCTGGAAGATGTAGAATCCTTCACATACGTGGGAAGCATCATCGATGAACGAAGAGTTTCAGATGCCGACCTAAAGGCGAGGATTGGCAAAGCAAGGGCCTTATTCCTACAATTGATGAACATATGGAACTCAAAACAACTGTCTGTCAACCAATATCAAAGTGAGAACGTTCAATACGGAGCTGAAACTTGGAGAACTACAACAACCATCATCAAGAAGGTATAAGTATTTATAAATAGTTGTCTACGTAAGATACTCAACATCCATTGACCGGATACCATCAGCAACAGCCCACAGTGGGAGAGAACAAACCAACTTCCAGCTAAAAAGTAAATTAGAAAAAGACGATGGAAATGGATAGGACATACATTACGCAAATCATTAAACTACATCACGAGGCAATCCCTAACTTGGAATCCTGAAGGAAGGCGGAAAAGAGGAAGGCCAAAGAACACATTACGTCGGATAATAGAAGCAGATATGAAAAGGATGAATTACAACTGGACGGAGCTAGAAAAGATTGCCCAGGACAGGGTTGGATTTAGAATGCTGGTGATCGGCCTATGCTCCTTCACGAGGCGTAACAGGTGTAAGTAAGTAAATAAGCATTAATGTACAAAAGAAAAACGACAAATAGTTCTATACCAAATCATTCTACTACTACTCTTTTATAAATCAATCACCTTTCTTTCAGGTTTATCAACATTTCCAACATTGTTTAATCGACCTCATTCATCCGCTGGAAGAATAGATCTATCAATATCAGGAATAAAACGATCTATTAGTAAAGATTATTATAGTCCAATAAGAATGCAACGTAGTACTATTGATATACCATATAGTCAAACTACACAATCATTATTAAGTCCATCTATCAATCGACGTTTAGTTGGTTTCACTAATACTGGTCATTCATCACGAATTTCAAGTATCAATAAAACTGTACTACCTATCATCCATCATCATGATCATCATCCTCATCCTCATCATAATAATCTAGTGTATAATAGTAGTCATGGTAATAATAATAAATGGAATTCTATGGATCATCAATCATTGGAATTATTAAATCAAACATCTATGAATAGGAATTCATATGCCAGGCAAACTCTTACACAGAATATTCAAGAAATGACACAGAAACAACGATTATTATTATTATCATCATCATCATCTAATCAACAATATTATCCAATATCTAGTCATAATAATAAGTTAGGTAAATGAAATCCATCGCTTCTCACAATTCGCTTCTTATAACTAATAACAAAAATCATCTAATAAAGCTTATTTATTATTTGATAATATTAGCGCAACTGATTGTATCCTATTGATGCTAATCCACCACCACCACCACCACCACCACCACCACCACCACCACCACCACCACCACTACTTTGATGATGACATAATCATCTTAACCCAAATCTATCATTTGAGTGATGTTCTGTTTATGTTTATCCCTATTTTTTTATTTCCAAGGGTTCATTTCATTCTGTATGGATAGTGACATGAATATTCACACTAACTAGATCAATAATTGATAATAGTGTTTAGTGTATAACAGTTCATTTCACTTCGAACACAGATGATATAGATATATATGTCAATATATCAATTGATTGATCACTAGGGAAGGATCAATGTCATATTCTACTCAGTGTAGATCCAATCCTATCAACCTGGTAATATCTCTGACTGTAAAACTGGATGATATGTGATCGAATCCGTCAGAGAGTATCAGTTTCCTTAAGATTATAGGTACATCCTTCTGATGAGTGCAAAATAGCACAAAACCTAAGTCCAGGGTTACTTGTTGACTATCTCCAACTACTATTCTTAGAAGTCTAAGATATTTTTAAACTTTATGGCTATCGAATATTCATTGTAAATGGATAAGACATGTATCAGTGATCAACATTACGTCAAAGGTATCGTTAAGTGGAACTATTGAGTGAGGAGTACTTGGATTAAACTTGAGAGCATAAAATACATAGTGGTTTGGTTTATGAAGTGAATTCTTTGAAACATATATACTACTTATAAGAACCCAACACTTACTCGAACCCACTATATAATGGCTAGAATGTAAATGAGCTAAAAGTAAACTAATGACATTCCTATTAGTAGTTCAGTAAAATGTAAATACATCATTTCCATATTTTCCTCGAATTATCTCGTACAAGCTTCATTATTCCTTCATTCATGTTATTACCTTGATTGCTTTTAGTTTCTTCTTTCTTCTTTTTATGACAATCATCTCAACCGTATGATCGCAGACATTCCACTACTGAACACTGTTGCATACTACTTATGTCTGCAAACATAAGTAGCATACATCAAAATACCATAATCTCTGTCATTCATGTAATAATCATAACACTTCTAGAATATACAAAACTTTTCGATCAATGTAATTCAATCGCTTATTTGAGATATTACTATTGTACTTAAAAAGTAGTAACTTACTTCATCAAGGAATATTTTATCGATCTCTATATATCTATATTACTTATTTACGCCTGTTACCCGCAATGGAGCATAGGCCGCGGAGCAGCATTCTCCAACTCACTCTGTCATATGCCTTCCTTTCTAGTTCTATCCAAATGACGAAAAGAGAGCGAAAAGAAATGACGCGCAGTAAAGAAGGCATATGTGACTCCAGAAGAATGGTCTGCTCAGAAGCTAGAATAAGTTATATGGGCTTAACATAGTAACTGACACTACAGATTCATTGAATATTTATAGAATACAATAGAACTACGGACAACAATCAATCAGTCAATCAGTCAAATCTTAAGTCAGTAGAACAATTTGGTAGTCATTTTGGTGGAAACATTCTAATTGCTTACTTCATTCTAAAGTGTATGTTGATACTGAGGATGGTTTTGTCTAGAAAGACAGTTCAGGGGAAATAATATACCTTCAGAAATGTTATGTCATAGACAGTTGGCAAATAATACGTGATAAGAACAATAGTTTACAATACAATCTAATAGAAATTAGAACTATATCTTGAATACTATTATGACTTCAAAGTGATTGGTTTGTACTTAGATGGTTGTACTATTTGCTGGTCAACTGACTAACATCACGAATCTCGGTAAAACTACATCTAATACAATAATTACACTGAATAAGTCCATTGGGAACCGAAAATAGAGAAGGTTAAATGATGTTTATGTGTACAATTCTGCTTAACTGAAAATCACGTTAACATGTGGAGCTTCAGGAGATTGTTCAATGTTACAATATACATCCCTAACTGATCGTGATTAGACAACCTCATTGGATGAAGTTTGAAATGTAAATCATTAGATTTTAACTCAATCGTTTGAAGAGAAAACAATCGCTGCCACACCTTGAAGTATTTGATTCTATTCCCAATGACATGGTTAATGAACACTAGTGAATCTTGTACTAAAAACCAATGACTCAATCCTTTATAGTATTCAATGATTGTTTAATCAAGATCAGCTCCTGATGTAATCATTAAACTATATGTCTAAAAGACTATTCATAGTTATTTGATGTATCTGGTTAAGAGTGTAGTGAATGAGAACAAAAATGAGAACAATCGAATATATTTTGATGGAGTTTTGTTCTCTGAGCTGGATGGTTTGCTCGTTCAGAAGAACAATGAATGCTCCACGATGAAACCATCCAGCTCAGAGAATAAAACTCCATCAAAATCATTCAGCTGAGCTACAAATCTTCTCCACTATTTCACAATCGAATATATTTGAATACAAAATGACAGAATCACTTAGTGTAGTATCTGAGAACTAAACAGTAAATACTTCATTTGCAAAATGTCTATCAATCACTTCAAACTTTATTGTTCCTACATTTCCACACCAACCATTCTGTGTTCTCGTTCTTTTCTTCTTCAATCTTCTTAACCTTCTACCTTCAAGCATTTCACTTTCAATGGATAATATATATACTACTTATATTTATCAATACTTGTTCTACATTACATTATATTAATCATAGTTATTCATTTCATTAACATATAATTTAACAGTTAACTATATATACTACTTATTTACAATCATAACATTTAACAAACGTTTAACTATCAAGCTAAATTATACCATTTCATTATAACAGAGATAATTCATAGAGTTCTATATTCAGTAGTCAATTAACAAGTTGATTAGTTCAATCATTTATATTGCTTATATTGCTTGTATTTTATTTCATTCTCTTAGTTACCTTAGATTATATCTGGTGTATAGTGTAACTGTGAACATGATGACTGTGTTTACAGGTTATACATATATGTATATGTTTTGAACTTAACATTTTTGATAGTTAAATTCATGGGTGAATTGAAGCTAAACTACTATGGAAAACATAGAAGTACTGGACGGTCGTTTCGTCCTAGTATGGGACTCCTCAGCAGTACGCATCTAAGATTCTGCCTTGAGAGATTCGAACCCTGGATCATTAAAAATTGCTAGAACATCCATAAAAATCCCGTCCTGATAATGATGATCATGTGCTCACTTATGATGGACTCCAAGAGGTATTTGGTGGAGTTCTAGTGAGAAGCTGTGACTAGTGGAGTCCAACCATGTTTGTTGTAGAGGCAGTTACTCATTGATGACATAAGTGGACAGTGGTGCAATATCGTGAAGTTAGACACTGACACCATTGGTTGTTGGCTAGCTCAGTGGCTTAGAGGTTCTTGGGTTCGAAGTTTGCGAGCGAGATCGTGGATGAGCACTCACACTGAGAAGTCCTACAATAAGACGAAACTATCGTCCAATGCTTCCAGGTTTTTCATGGTGGTCTAGCTTCAATTGACTCATAAATTCAACTATTAGAAATCGCTAGGATATCCACAAAAACCCCATTCTGATAATTAATCATATAATATTTTTCAACTAGCGAATAGATCATACGCTCCTGGATTAGAACAACAAGATGGTTTCCGTACAATTGCAACAACAAATTATCATCGTGAAATGCATACATCTGGACCACAATCACCATATCTGTAAGTTATTCAATTCTTTCATTGTCATTATGCTTATACACTGTTTTATTGAAGTGACATGATGTCACTTAGTTTGCATATTACTAATTGTGAGATAGTGAATGAGAAGGAGTAAAATTGTTCTCATGGTGTGGTTATAATTTATGAACGAACCAATCAGATTTAGGCTAATAAGTGTTGGATTTCGGCACGAAATTCATTTAATCATTTGACCAAATAGCGTCTTGGCATTTTAACTGATGTCAGTTCGTGAGGAAAATCCTAGATTCCATTTCTAATCCTAGCCACCAACTGTGAATCATAATCCTTTTTCTTCAAACAGATTTATAACCTTCATTGTGAAAGGGTTCTTCTGGAGGCATCTGAAATGGAAATTGGATGAGAGGTGGTCTTAGTGACCTGAGAGCTTAACTACAGTGCCCAAGGGACAACTGCTTGAGATCGGTTACACACGACCTTCTTAAGAGTAGTTTTCGTTTTAGCTTCGTAGTTGTTGAAACTTTACCACCGGAAACGGATATCCGTGAGATAAGGCGAGGTGTGAATTTTTAGGGTCGACCTTTTCTAACCTCACTCCTCCTTGTGAGCAAGCAGCATTGTTGTTATGCTGTTTGCCAGAGGGAAACACCTTACTGCCGTCACACCTCTATGCAGTCAGCAGTACGACTTCGCCTTCGGACCTTGGGTTTGTTGCTTTTAGTCTTACCGTTCTTCAACTGACCTGTCTGGCAATAGTAGGACCTTGAGAAACGATTTTCCAAGCCAGTATAGCTTAATTGCTTCATTACGATAGGCAAGCCTGACCATCACATCAAGGTAGCAGCAACGGTCGGACCGATTCAAGCATTCTCCATCCAACTCTGTCCTCAACAGTCCTTTCCAGTTCTTCTAGTTGTTATTCATCCTTTTCACATTTGCTTCCAATTCCTGACATAGTATATTTTTTTGACTTTCTTCTTTTCTGTTTCCCTTCAGGATTCCAAGTTAACAGTTGCTTGATGATGCAATTTGATGTTAAAATGATATCAAGTTGATAAATTGTCTTGTTTTCTGTTTTTCTTTTTGTTTTCAAATCAATATTTAGTGGGACAATCAGACATAATTCACAATATGAAGCAACACCAATAGTGAATCGATCAGTAGTTCAACAATCTGTTATACCATGTATGTATATTGTATAGAAGTAAAACAAGAAAATGAACATAATGATTGATTTAATATTAACATTAATAGTTGAGATTATGAGTCAGTTGAAGCTAGATTACCATGGAAAACCATGGAATTACTGGACGGCTGTTTCGTCCAAGTGTGGGACTCCTTAGTATGAGTGCGCATCCACAATCCTGCCTCACGAGATTTGAAACAGCCATCCAATGCTTCTAGATTATCTATGGTGATCTAGCTTCAACTGACTCATGATCTCAACTATTGAAATTACTATAAAATTCACAAAACACCCCTTCTAAGATTGATTTAATAGTTTGTTTTTCATTTTCATAATTTTATTTTTATCAGTAGTAACATGGAAGATAACTGAATCCTTTCAGTTATATTGTTATCATTCTCTAAGATGATATAAGATTGATAGGTTACTATGATGGAATGATTTCAGTTAATTGAATCAATCACATTCAAGATTCCCAATCAACACTTAATCTTTAAATGACTTAGTTGGCATTCAATAGTGATCACTTTATGATATTGTCCGACTCTCATTAATCTCACTAACTTTGTCTGTTTCAAAAACTGTTAGTTACAGCTTCTTACTAGAACCCTGAGTGACATGGCTCAGAATCAATCATAATGGCGTCAGTGCATACACTCTCTGTTCTCCGCTAAACCGTTAGATTAAAATTGCTTTATACCTTTATTTCTAGGGACTTATTCTTTCTACTTGTACTACAACCTTATACACAATCTCTCTTCTATATTATTACTATCATTGAAGTAACTACATGTATGAATTTGGTGTTCATGTTGTTGTGCTAATGAGGTGTGACAATTTAGACCGATGCATATATATGTGTCTGGTCTTACGTTGTAGCTGACTGACTGACTAGAATCCTGAACTTTTGGTTTAGTAGTAAAAGCATCTTTAACTATGTAGGAGGAGGGATGGTACTCTTCACATACTGATTTCATTTATAGTACTACTTGATATCAGAGAGAACACTTTGAAAGTAATTCATCCTAGAAAAACACTCTTCATCAGATCAATCCCAAGATCTTCCTGATCTAGCAATTAGTGTTTAAACATCAAACCGCTGGATTCTCACCCGATCGTACACATTTCCTACTTCAATCGATTTGTAATAAGTAATTTCCATCGAATCTATCCTTATTATTATCATTATCATTATTATGTTGATATTTTTATCTGCATAAAATTTCAGTTTCACCAAATGGAAGTTTATCTGGAACGAATATTGGTGTTGATATTGTCGATGGTGATACAGTAGGAATGCGTCAAGTTCTTGATACATCTAAATATTGGTATTTACCAGGAATCTCACGTCCTGATGGTATGTTTATTTGTATTTCACTGTGTTTTGAATTATTAGCAATCAATACTAAATACTTCTTTACTTACGCCTGTTATCTCTCATGAAAGAGAATAGGCCATTCACCAGGATTCACCATCGACCAGATGTCGACGGTATGGTTTGATCACATAAACAAATATTGATTTGTCTCTCCTGTATATTCTTCTCACGATAACATGATCCTATATATTGTGAATGTGTTACTTACTTACTGACGCCTGTTACTCCCAACGGAGCATAGGCCACCGACCAGCATTCTCCAACCCACTATTTCCTCGGCCTTTCCTTCTACTTCTATCCAATTATTGTCCATTCTTCTCATGTCTGTCTCCATTTCTCGGCTTAATGTGTTCCTTGGTCTCTCTCTTCTTATTTGGTCTTCAGAATCCCACGTGAGAGCTTGCCTTATGATGTAGTTGGGTGCTTCCTCAATGTGTGTCCTACTCCCATCCAGCGATTCTTAACGATTTCTTCCTCTGATGGACTGTAAATGTGTTAAATTAGATCAATTCCGTGTACTTCAATAGTCCAGTACAATTTTGAACTGACTATTTAGATTATAAGTTATGTTGTACCGTTAACAATGGGTACTTCTTTAGCGACTAATTCAAAAGTGGAAAACCTATTACTTTCTTCCATTCTTTATATTTAAAAGCCTAAAGTGTATACCACACGAATGGATAATGATTAATAATTGACTAGCTAAAAATTGGATAGTCTATAGATCATTCCACAGTAGGACAATGTCATCCGTATACTTAGGGTTGTAAATTCTTCCTTCTGGCAGAGATGTCGAAGTTTGTGCTGATGATGTCGTTCACAAAAACAATGAAAGCTTCACTACTAAACCATTCAACTCAGAGAACAAAACTCTATCGAAATCTTCCGTTAGGTACCAGATTCATGTTAACATAATAATCTATTTCCAGAAATTCATTAATGATATCACTGAAAAAAGGACTAGTGAGAATGTGTAACTCGTCTTCAGCACCTTGTTGGAATGAAACAATAGATTATTGTTACAGAAAGCGATAGTGTTTAAATCAGGTAAGTATCAGTAGTATGTATCATCGATCAAATATGAAATATCTGGTGGTAGAGAAGGTTAAGTAGTTCGAACAAAAGAGAAATAGGATACAGAATGATGGATATGGAAACGAAGGAACAATCAAGTCTGAGACGATTGATTGACATTTTGCAGAATGAAGTATTAACTGTGTATGGTTCTCAGATTTTACTAAGATGGTCTGTAATTTTGTGTTTAAAAATACATTAGATTGCCCACTTTGATGTTCTCGTTCACTACAGTATTTGTCAATCTATGATGTTGTAAATATACGACCCCTTCATTATGCTTGGTCTATTTCGCATTTGCCTATTTAATGAAATAGTGTAACTATATATACGTTTTTGATTGAAATCATGAGTCAACTGAAGCTAGACCACCATGGAAAACCTGGAAGCACTGGACGGCCATTTCGTCCCAGCATGGGACTCCTCAGCAGTGCGCATCCACGATCCCACATCCCGCGAGACTCGAACCTAGGACCTATCAGTCTCGCGTCAGGCGTTTAACCAACTAGACCACTGAGCCGGCATCCAATGGTGTTGATGTTGCCTTGGTGATTAACACTTGGTATTTTCGTTCACCACAATAATATATAACTTTAATTTTATTTCATATCACTTAGAAAACTGTATTGAATTCATTACCTACACTATTTATTTTTATAACAAGCCCACAACTAATGTGTATACTTATTGGAAGCTGTAATTAATCCCATGAAACTATCATCAAGATCCAAGGAACTATGATGAATAATTCGATTAGTCAAAGTTCTTTAAATGATCTTCAAGATCATCCAGATTCCTGTTTTCCTATTTAGTTTTAAAAAATAGAATATTTCTAGGGATAGGGTAATTGGTTAAGATAATGAGGTGAGACCATAATGGATGAACCATGTTCGAAAGAACCTCAGGTGACCTTGACGAAGATTAGCCAATCAGCAAACAGCTAGTGTAGAGTAAATATTGATTATGCAACACCCAAGAATTAAAATGGATATACTTCTTTTACATGGTTCAAAAACTTGTCAAGGTTAGAAAGTAGTTCAGAGATCCTGAAATCGTAACGCATACGGTAGAAGAAGTCATCCATATGACTCCATGACTAGGATAAGGTCGAGAAAACTCCTTCAGCCTCGACCACATAGCTTCCATAATGTTTGTGTGCATTTCGATTATTCGACTCACAAAATGCCATTTGCGGACAACGACACGATGAACATAACCAAGCCTATGTAAACATCTGTACGCTCTTTGATCATCCGCATATATTGTATTATTCGGCTGTAGCCAGTATTACTGATGCTTTTGTTATCCAGTTTGCAACAATTATCATAATTTGCCTTGATCTCAACCTGGATTGAGAGAAAAAAGTTCCTATTCTAACAGACTCTCAATGTCCACCAACCCAGTTAAAGCGCCAGACATTCGCTTTTCGTCCTCTCAGTTTCGTAAACAACACTCGTGGTGCTAGAAGGCAATGTGTAGGACTTCCCTGACAGATGCTAGATACGCGTGATCATGTGAGGGCCGTACCAGGGCATTTGGGGGCCATCATCACAATAGTCTACACAAAGTCTAAAACCCATCTGATTATCACAATTACAAATAAAAAACTTCTAAATAGTCTTATTTATTATAGCCGCTCAATTATCCCATTTTCTGTAAAATTCTCTAAGAACCGATTGTACGTAATCATCAAGTTTCGAAATTGGCGCCATGACCTTGAAATCTCTCGAAAACACTTCTGATTGGTTCATTCATAAATGATAGTCTTGCTTACAGATTAGTTACATTAAAATTGTTTACTTTATTTTAGTTATTGCATTATTACGTGATAAAGAACCTGGAACTTTTGTTATACGTAATAGTAATACATATGCTGATAGTTTTGGTTTAGCATTGAAAATTCCTCCAAATTCACCTAGAGTTATATCAAATAAAGGTTAGTTATTCATTTCTATAGTGAACAGTTTTATTATATATGCATTTTCCTTTGATATAATAAACTTATTTATGTTATATGTTATTATGTAATTACTTACTTACTTACTTACTTACTTACACCTGTTACTCCCAATGAAGCGTGGGGCGCCGACCAGCATTCTCCAGCCCACTCTATCTTCCGCCTATCTTTCTACTCCTATCCAATTATTGTTCATTCTTCTGATGTCTGTCTCTATTTCTCGGTGTAATGTGTTCTTTGGTCTTCCTCTTTTCCTTTGGCCTTGAGGATTCCATGTGAGGACTTGCCTTGTCCACTTCCAGTGATTCTTACTGATTTCTTCTTCCGCTGGGATCTGGTTTGTTCTTTCTTATGGTAGGTTGTTGCTGATATTGTCTGACCAGCGCATCTGAAGTATTTTAGCGTAGACAATTGTTAATAAACAATTATATCTTCCAGGTTTCCACCCCATACAGTAGAACTGTCTTGACAATCGTATTAAAAATTCTGACCTTGGTGTTGGTTGACAGTTGTTTTGAGTTCCAGATGTTCTTCAGTTGTAGATATATTGGTCTTGCTTTGCCGATCCGTGCCTTCACATCTGCATCCGATCCACCGTGTTCATCAATGATGCTGCCCAGATATGTAAAGGTTTTTACATTTTCCAAATCTTCTCCGTCAATTGTGATTCGATTGTCGCATCTTGTATTGTATCGGAGAATCTTGCTTTTCCCTTTGTGTATGCTGTGACCTACTGCTACACTGGTTGTCTTCTCTTGCATTTGTTGTTGCGTGTGTGATAGAACAGACAGATCATCTGCGAAGTCTAGATCCTCCATGTTACTATGTAGATATAGTTGGAACCTGTCTAATTGAGTTTCAAACTGTTAAATTAACTGAAATGGTGTTGAATCTCAGAAGTAGAATCCATTTCTTTAAGATTATAAATAAGCTTTACTATTGATATGTATAAAAAAGAGTGACAAATACAGTTTAAAGAAGGTTTCTGTTATGTTCCGATAAGCATAATGAATGGCAACATTTGGGATCCATTTATGGACCAATACTATGCGTATATTTTTATCGTATAATTATTCAATAACTAAACTATTCATATTCGTGTTTCCCTTATCACAAGCTTTATTTTGACCTATGAACCATTATTATACGTTTTACCATTCTTGAATTATGCCCTGCCTATTAGTCACTGCTTCCCGCATTCGCAGCCACCTTTAGCCAAATCTTGTTTCCTATTTTATGGTACGATGTGGTCTGTCTGGTTGATATATAAACTCAGTATGTTTGAAATAAACGATTCATATCGCAGAGGCTAAGATTGGTGTTTTGGACTCGACAAGACGGGTAGAAGGATGGATAATGACCCTGGACTACTCGTACGGGTTTATGCGTCATTGGTTCGGTCGATAATTCATTGTTCTCTAATTGGTGGTATCGTTACGTTATACATTAGGAGGGCACACAAGTCACAAGTTATAAAAGTTTCCTGCTAATTACCTACAACAGTCTATTACCATAGACCAAGTTATTTATGATAACCTGAGATCTAGAATCTTCAAAAGATTCATTTATTCTTATATAATAAGGTCTCAAGTCATTGTGTCGTACCATCTCTAGAACCCCAACCAGAGAGTTGTGAAGGACAACAGTATCCAGTCTTGTACAGTTTTCTTTTATATCATGACACTATGTCATACACTGATTATATCTCCGCTTTTTCTAACCAGTCTTAGCGTCGGCAAATAATGCACGACATGGAATTCTCTGTGATGATATTCGTAGAATATGTCCAAGTCATCGAAGTCGATGCTTCAAGATAGTGACACTAATTGAATTATCATCATTGTGTCCGAACACACAAAATCGAACCTCTACATTACTAATATGGTATTACCACTATGTTAAAACTTGGAATTATATACTAACCTATATTTTTCTTTACTAATTAACAGAGGATATTCAATCTGAATGGGTACGTCATTTTCTAATTGGTACAGTTCCTATGCATGATGGTCGTGGGAATGGAGTACATTTACGTGGTTTCTCTAGTGATCCAACATTTCCAAGTTTAGCAGCATTTGTTCATTATCATATTCATAAACAAGGTGCATTACCATGTACACTTCGTCTTCCAATATTTAATAATCAAACATTATATAATCAACAAAGAACTACTATTAATGAACAAACAGTTTATGGATTAGAACCTTCATTACAAACAATATTACCAACTACTAATACAATGAGTAAGATTTCTTTGTTGTTAGTTACATTGAGTCTTTAAATGTATATGTTATGAATATTTGTTAGAATGTTTTGGATAATCAGTTTCATTTGAAGATGACTTCTGTCATATACAAACATTCATTAAAGTATCAATAAACAACTGAAGATTATCGAATAGTTATGTTATTCTAATATAGCACTATGACCAGACAAAGTTGCTTACTCTCCCCTGTTCTCTTTCTTCTGGTGTCGGATTGGATTATGAAGACCTCTACATTTGAGAGGAAACACGGAGTACAATGGACACGTTGGATATAACTAGACTATTTGAAGTTCGCAGATCACCTAACCCTCCTATCCCATACACATCAATGAATGCAGGTCATGACAAACAGTGTAGCAACAGTCTCTGCAGCACTAAGCCTCAACCTAAACAAGAGAAAAAAACAACATCCTCAAATACAACACAGAGAACACCAAAGCAATCACACTTGATAGTGAAACTCTCAAGGAGATGGAAAGTTTCACGTATCTGAGTAGCATCATTGATGAACGTGGAGGATCCGATACACATGTAGAAGTGAAAAGTGGAAAAACAAGGATAGCATTCCTACAGTTGAAGAACAAATGCAACTCAAAACAACTGTCTGTCAACCAATATCAATGTCACAATCTTCAATGCAGGCGTCAAAACAGTTCCATTATATGAAGCTGAAGCTTTGAGAATTAGGTATTTATAAACAATTGTCTATGCAACATACTGAATGTCCGTTGGTTGGATATGATCAGAAACAGTTTACTATAGGAGAGAACAAATCAGATTCCAGTTGAAGAGAAAATTGGGAAAAATTGATGGAAGTGGATAGGTTACACATTGAGGAAATCATCAAACTGCACCACGATTCAAGTGCTAACTTTGAATCCTGAATGGCAACGGAAAAGAGGAACACACAGCGTCGAGAACTGAAAGCAGACACGAATAGGATGAATAGTAACTAGAAAGGATTGTCCAGCGAGAGGTTTATTCTCCTTCAGGATGGGTAACAGGTGTAACTAAGTAAGTAATGTAGCCCAACGTAAAAATAGACTAACACAACTCTACCACTAGTCAAAACCAAAGTGTTCATATCTTTATTTTATTTTATTTTAACACATAGATATTAGTACAAGGAGGCTACAAATAGATATGCGCCACATAAATCATTCGATTTGTGTGAGGGTTGTGATACTGCCCGGGTGCCCAAACCGAAGCAGGTGGTTTTCTCAGAGGGAGCACACCCGGAGCCTTTGATCTAAAGGTCCAATCCACAAGGCAGTGGAGCAACATCAGTAGATGCAGTCCCATGGTAACCGGTGACCAATAATCGGTTCATACACCATTTTTTCCCTCAGGATACTGGAGCCCATGTGCACCATTGGTTTGGAATGAGGGTTTTACAACTCCCCTAGGTGGACTCTCTGTGTCCGCCAACCCGGTTAAAACGCCGGACATTCACTTTTCATCCTCTCAATTTCGTAAACAACACTCGTGGTGCGAGAAGGCAGTGAGTAGGACTTCCCTGGTAGAGGCTATATACGCGTGGCCATGTGAGAGCATTTGGAGAGGGAGAGCTGACTCTCCCCACTCTCGACCGTACCAGGGCATTTGGGAGCGTTCACATCTCCTAATCAACGTAATACATTTAAATTGCTAAGCTAGGTTACTATGGTTTGCACACATTTCAATGAGTTCATGATGTAGCCCAACGACTGTCCACGTGCACGTGGACAACTGCGGACACATATTCGACTGAGAAAATGTTCAGATCTTGGATAGAAGCAACTGTAAAAACACCAGAGAATTCTTAGAAGCTTGATCAGTCAGCAATCAACAAACACATTGAAATCGATCCAATTTATCAACCAATCAAAAAAACTATGGACATATATGGGACCAAGAATCAAACCAGTGGGAGATACAACCAAAACAAAGAAGTAGACAATGACAGGTTAAAGGTCAGTGGTAGCCAATCATGATTGAGGTCTACAGGACTAGCTGTAAACCGCATGTGGAGAAATTCGAACGCTTCACTTCTATCAGAAGTTTGTGCTGATGATGTTGTTCAGAAGAACGATGATAGCTCCACGACCAAACCATCCAACTCATAGGACAAAACTCCATCAAAATCATCTACCTGAGCTACAAATCTTCTCCACCACTATCTAATACTGTCTATGATCTCTATCTCATTCGGAATGATAGTTCAACTCAGTTAGTCAGATATTCTCAATGGAACTTTGAGAACTGATTTCAAAGCAAGTTACTGTCAAATGATATTTCTGTTTGAATTTGTCATGTTACATAACTAAAGTTACATTTAGATTAACTAGCAGAATATACGTTTCATCAGATGAAAACAAATAAATCTTTATATCATTTCAGGTACGGATATGCTTTATCTTGGTTCTGTTGAAGTAGATCGTCTTGAAAATATGAATGCAGCAATTCGTGGAATTGGAAAAATAATAAGTTTAGCACAATCATATACAGATGGTTTACCAAAACGATGTGAAGTTCAAATTAAAGTTATACCACATGAAGGAATTACGTTTACGGAAAAATATCGACGTGCTGCTTGGAGAAAAACTATTAAACCTAATAATTTACTTTGGTGTGGTTTAGATCCAGAAAATCGAGAGTAAGTTTTCTAAAATTAGTTTTTATTTCTTAAAATGTTTAAGATCTTGAAATTGTGTTATGGCTTAAAGAGACAGCCGATTATAAGACAGTGACTTATCGATCGGATCAATGATTCAGCGACTCGATAGACTATTCTGGTCCGTTGTCCCCAACTCTGCTAACTCGATCAAGAAGTTTGGGTAAGGTGTAGAAAGTGTATTCTACAGACAAACAGCAGATAACCAGTCAGGCAGGCAGATCAGATCAAGCATACAAGTCAAGCGTATTTATACAAATATTTACAATCGATATTGTCATGGAAGATTTTTGAACATTAATCAACAATTGACTGCTATTTGAACATTTAATCGATAGTTCATCAATTGACCTATTTGTACATTTAATCGATAGTTCATCAATTGACCTAGTTGCACATTTAATCGATAAGTAAATTACAAAATTTGAGTTTTGGGGATCTATCGTCCCCAACACTCCTCCCCTTTTTAGAAGATCCGGAGTTGATATCCGGATTTTAAGTTTTCCAGGTCCATCCTCCCCCACGAAACAGTGTTGGATCCTCATATGCCCACGTTATAATTAACTTGAATTTATTTAAGACATATTTATCGCACTGAACAGAGAATTGACTGAAAGTGACTAAGTCTTGAGGCTGAACGACACTTGATATGAGGTGTTCGAAGTTTAATTCTTCTGAAATATTGTGACCAAATTTATTTGGAATCTTATTTGTAGATAATCGATCATCAAGGTAATTAGCATCTATCAAAATTGTATTAAGTTTTTGATCATCATTTGATGCATCTGACATATTTTCTGGTAAAAGAGAATCTTGATAATAAGATTTGTCAAAAACACCTGTCGCAGACTGATGAGAACCATTTGAAGCAGTTGTATTCAGTGTACTGCTCGATTTGTTTTCTGTTTCATGGGTGGTTATTGCGACAATTCTATGAGCATTTACCAGGGAGTGTGTTTGTGAGCTGGATATGTCACCGTCTGCACATGCTGTTTTGGGGATAATGGAGTTTGAGTCCATTACCGGGCATGTTTCTGGAATGGAGAGGACTGGACCACTGGGCGAATCTTGAGTGACTGTTGTACCGTTTGAAATACGGTTTATCGAGGATTCATTGGGGCTGCAATCATTTTCCAGCTCTGTGTGCAGTTGAGAGATCAATCCATCCACTTCCGCTGCATCTCCAAAGCATGAGTGATTTAACAGCTGCGTGCGTAATTTGACTAAAAACTCCAACTGTCTTTCAAATAGCAGCTGCACTCGATCGGAAGGGAGAGTCATTTTTTTTATTCAGCACCGGTAATGCAAATTACTGTTTGATTAATGACCAATGTTGCTGAAGGACACTGATGACAAATCTGGATCCTGAAGGCTGACTTTGGATTGTTCTTTTTTTTTATCCCGTCGCCAATTGTTATGGCTCAAAGAGAGATCCGATTATATATCTAAAAAATTGGAAGTGATATACATCACAGTGGTTTCTAAAGTTTATTATGTTATCTACTGATCCAACGGTACACCATTTGCTTTAGATAACTCCTCCAGAGATTTTTGTGCCTGTAGAGCACACAATTCATTGTACTCTTCCAATCTTTTTTCTATAATTGCACGGTCACGTTCGGATATCTTCTTTTCCCTTCTAGTAAGATATTTTAGGCGTAGAGCTCCATAAACAATCCCAGCAGCTAACAATCCCCAACGCGCTGTTCGTATGAGTGGTGATACTTCACGAGGAGCGGGGAGTTTAGTTACATACACGGAGTCTTCCATTTCAGTCTACTTCCTACAAACTGGCTTAGAGTTTAGCAGAACTGGAGACAGTCTACTCTACTCTACTCTACTGCTATTTGAACATTTAATCGATAGTTCATCAATTGACCTATCTGCACATTTAATCGATAAGTAAATTACAAAAATTTGAGTTTTGGGGATCTATCGTAGCCAACAAATTGGCATTGTCGATACGGACTACTGAGGGATACCACAAGAAGACGAAACGGTTGTCAAGTGCTTTCAGGTATTCAATGATGGTCTAACATCAATCAATTACAAAGTTAATTGATCAGAGTTAGTTAAATGATTAACTGTGGAATACAAAGTGACACGAGATCGAATCCGTCAGGGAGCACCAGTTCCCTCAAGATTACAGGTACACCTTGCTGACGAGTGCCAAGTAGCACGAAACCCGGGTTCAGGGTTTCCTGTCGACTAACTCCAACCACCATCTAATCTCACAATAGTGCACGCAGTGTCGAGTCACCTAGGCTGGTGGCCACATTGCAACTTGATCGATAGCATTCGATCTGCACTAATAAGGACTAGACACGCAATCAATTGTGATCTCAACTACAGTATTAACAACCTAAAAGCTCATAAAATCAACTGTGTATAAACTTTGTTCAAGAGGGCGACAACACACTGCAACACACTAGTAGCATTTAAGAAATGAAGAATGATGAAAACTCCATAACCAAATCATCTAACTCAGAGAACAATACTCCATTAAAATCATCCACTTCAGCTACAAATCTTCTCCACATTTCGTTCTATTTAGGTCTTGTCAACTGGATGTTTTTTTTATATTTTAATGTCAAAGTTCACATGAGTATTTAAACCGAATAGCTTTCACGTTAAACGTCCATCGGATTATCTATCTAAACTGATGAATTACAGTATTTACTTACTCACTTTCTTTTTCAGTGATATAAGCATGAAGCTCTAATAATGTCATTTGTTATAGTTGAAACCACTACAGAATAAGTTTATAAATGGATCCATGTTAGATCATCATTGAAAACCTAAAAGCTCTAGACAGTCATCTTGTCCTAGTATGGAACTGTTCAGCAGTATGCATTGATGATCTCGCATGTGAACGCTTAACCTCTAGATCGGTGAATTGACATCCTATTGTGTTAATATCTAACTTCAATCGATTCATGATCTTGCACAACTCTTCACCAATTGTCTGAGGTAGATAACTGTCTCACATCCGACATGAATTGCATTCCGCCGTCAAGTGCTTCCAAGTTTTTAACGATCGTCTAACATTGATCCATTCATGATATCAATCTAAACTCAACAATCTCCACAACTCTATACTGACGAATAAGTCTATGTTGTGTCATTATTATTATCATCATCATCATCATCAAAATTAGCCCTCTAAAGTGAACTGACTAATATTGTTTAATATACTACTCTTAATTGTATTTTACTTCTACGAATTTCGTTTATAGATTTAATGATGCGGAATTACGATCTAAAGGAATGTATGGTTCAAAGTAAGTCATTTTTTTCATAATTAATCTGTTTACTTATAAAATATGGCTAATAATCATTCACTAAATATTGAATTTGTTTTTAAAATCAAAATAAATGGTAGATGTTACCAGCGACTTTTGTGGAGACTGTTGAATATGAACGTCTAGATCATGGACAGATTCCAAATGTCATGATACGACCGAGGGTTGAGAGAGTCAATCATATTTCCCTCGACATGCTCTCACATGGCCTCGCTTATACAACGAGTACCAGGAGAGTCCTACTTAATGCTTTCTCGAGTTGTAAGTGTTATTTACGAAATTACGAGGACGAAAACCAAATGACCGGAGTTGTAACCAAGTTGGTAGGCACAGAGAGTCCACCTAGGGGAGTTGAATAACCTTCATTTCAAACCAGTCATGTACATGAGCTTCAGAATCATGAAGGAACAAATGGTATATGAACCTATTGTCGGTTACTGGCTACTATGGGATTGTATCTCTTAATGTTGCTCCATTGTCTTGTGGATTAGACCTTTAGATCAGAGGCTCGGTGAGTGATCCCCTAAGAAAACCACCTACCTTGGTTCGGACACCCAGGCAGTATCACAGTCCACAGACAAATCAAGTGACTTGTATGTCACCCCTTTGTACTAAATAAATAAAAGTCATGGACTAACTTGGATTAAACCACCAATCAAAACAAGAAACGACTGAACATCTCATTTCGTCTTATTATAATACTTGTAAGTAGAATAATCATTTGTATTAGGTAATACGGTTATTACATTAAGTTTGACTTGAAATCATATACCAGTTAATGTTTATCACAGTAACTCATTATTTTTTTTTATTGAAATCATCAACCGATTGATGTTAGACCACCACTGAAAACCTGAAAGCACTGGACGGCCGTTTCGTCTTATTGTTGGACTCCTCCGCAGTGCGTATCCACGATTCCGCTCGCGAGATCAATCGGTTCATGATTTCAGTCAAAAGCTTAACAATCTCCACAACCACTAAACGGATAACTTATTATTTATACAGACATTACGTAACTCTATACGTGAAATAATATTGTTAATTACATATTTTGAATTACATCATAAGACTGATGTAATATTCAAGTCGACTTCTACAACTCCGTATAGACTTAGAACAAATCATACTAATTACGTTAGACCTTGTTCATTTTAATTGACCTCTCAATAAGTTAGATCATATAAAAATAAATAACAAATTATAAGAATAGGAATATATGGAGATCTCTATTCGGATACTAATCATGTGTTCATTAGTGGTTAGCTTCAAGATGGATTTCTTTGGAGTTCTAAGAAGAAGACATGAGTGGTGGAGTTTAATCCGTGTCAGCTGTGAGGTAGTTATCTACCTCAGATAATGGAAGATAGGTTGCACAAGATCATAGATGAATTGAAGTTCCACATTAATAGTGTTAAATACTGGCTCAGTGGTTTAGAAGTTAGGCGTTCACATGTGAGACCGAAGATCCTGAATTCGAGTCCTGTGTAAGAGATTGCGGACACACATTGTTGAGAATTTCTATCCTAGGACAAAATGGTTGTCTAATGGTATTCTAGCTTAGATCGATTTATGAACTCAACTATTCACATTCAGTCAGTCAGTCGGCTACAACGTAGGACCAGGCACATATATGCATCGGTCCAAGTTGCCATACCTCATTAACACAACAAGATGGACACCGGACTCATAAAAGTAGTTAATTCAGAGGTGGTAATAAATGAAAGAATGACTGCATATAAGGATATAGTACGGGAAGAAAGAATTAGTTCATAGAAAGAAAGATATGAAGCGATTTTAATCTCTTAGTCTAAGGGGAGACAGAGAGTGTATACACATATGCCATTATGATCGATTGTGAGCCATGTCACCAAGAGTCTTTAACTATTGGTTACGATAGTCTCACGCGGACCCCAACCAAGTACTCTGCATCTACCAACATGGCTCAGACTACAAGTTGGTGACTTCAAGCACTGATGCCACGTTTTGGTTTGGCCGCCCCTAACTTTCTTCCAACCATCCCGAACACCGGTTAGCATTGCACGTCGTGGTAATCGATGTTCGGGCATACGTCACACGTGGCCCAAATATTCACATTGCATATTTATAAACAAAAGTCATCTTAATAACAAATCGATCAATTATTTAATCTATTTATCAAATGAATTCGTTTCATATAAAATAATAATTGTTATCAAGACTCAGTAGTTAAGTGGATAACACGATGTCGTTTGAAGCGAACAGTACTGAGTTCCAGTTCCAAAGTGAATATCAACTCTAAGATGTAAATACATCCATTTGATGAGTCGCAGATAGGACGAAACACGTTTCAAACTGGATCCCACTGTTATTAATTGTTACCACCAACTATAAACAATGGCTTCTTCTTTATAAAAAAAATAGTCGATTAGAATGGTTATGATGCTTAAATTGAATTATATCAGTAATGTAACACTAACATTTCATTAAAATTATTATGAATCTTATGAATGTTAAATAGGAAACCCATTTCATATGATGAAGTTTTCATGAATGATGACGAAAGCCTTATAATTAAATCGATTAACTATGTTGTGTATACATGTGTATTGTAGTCAAGAGTTGAGAAGAATAATAAAAGAAACAAGTTATAGTGGTTAGCACTATTACAATCCAATATAAGTTAGTGTAATCATTGGACAGGTCAATTTATTCATTCTTCTCAAGCCAAATATTAAGCTTGTCAATTATTCTATGATCATTTATAAGTATTGAGTAACGCTTGATCAAATCAAGTTGGCTCATTTCACTTCTCCACTAAGCGTCATCTTGTTTCATCACGTTTCTCTAATCATCTATATACGTTAACGATTGTATCAAATTCATTCTCCTCATAGTTGACTTATTTAATTTCAATGATTAAATACATGAGTAGTCAAGATCTATATTTCATGAATAATCCTCATATAGAATCTAAGTGAAGGTTACTAGATCCTGAGTTCGAATCCCGCTTGCATATAGGATGATAAATATACACAATTGACACATTGTCTATTAACTACATTTGTCTATTTGTTTATTTGTTCTCATCTTCTGTTTTGTTTTTGTTCTTTATATTATAGAATATTTGCATTAGTTGCACGTAAACAACGTTTCTGGTTACATGATAATGTAGTTTATGTATTTTGTGAAATTGATCATAATCATTCAGCTATTCAATTAGTACGTTTTATTAATTCTATCTTTCCTGGTTTAAGGGATTAATTGAATGATATTTCTTTAACAATATATAAATGAATATATCTTCTATATATTTCTATATATATATATACATATATGTATGTTCATGAAGGATCTTCTATTTCAATCATTCTCAATAAAGTTCCTTTCATCTAATATGAATAGTTTGTTTGTTTGTGTTGTTTGTTTTTTAATTGATCATTTCATTCTATTTAACATTGAAAACAATCTGGATCATCATTTCATCTTATTGATAATGATACTGTTGTTAAGGGGGAATCAATGAATGAAGCGATCCATTAAGATGATGTTTTGACAATTTATTCATGAATGATATTTCTCTTTTTTTTTCTTTTTTTTCTCTTTTTTTCTTTTTTTCTTTTGCCACTTTCGTTGATTGACTTTTCTTTATTTTAACTAAATTCAATTCATAATGAATCATTTGATGATTTCGAAGGAATTTTTGTTTTTTTGTTTTTTTTTAAAAAAAAAAAGAAAAGAGAAAACATTTTCGGGTTTTTTTTCTTCGAAACTTTTTTCTTACTTTCACATTTATAACACACACACACACATCTATATATATATATATATATATACATGATACAATCAATGTTGATCTGTTTCATCTTTAAACTACCGCTACCACCATCACAACCACAACCACCACCACTACTACTACGACTACGACGACGACTTCTGACGATACTGTTGACAATACTACTACCACTACTACTAACTATACTACTTATATACAATACTATACTATTTATTCTATATATCTGCTTCTAATTATTCAATTATCGATTTATTTATTTATTTATTTATTTACTTGTTTACAAATAATCGTTTCCAACTTGAATTCGTCTATGTTTAATTGAAATTATATTTTGAAAAACAAATAAAACAAAACATGGCGTGTTCAATATTCAATGTTTCTTATTTAACATAAATAATGACGATTGTTCGTCTGTTTGTTTGTTTGTTTAAATGTATTCAGTTGACCTTGAGTAGTGTTAGTTTACTGTTTTTTTTAAAAAAAAGAACCGGGTTTTTTAAAACTTTTATTTATTTTACAGGTTACTTTCTTCTTCTTCTTTTTCTTTTGCTTTTTTCTCTTTTTTGTTTTTCTTTCTCAATGATAAATATTTATTAAAATGAATAGTGTATTCTATCATTAAACTTGGTTGATATATATTTATTAATTCCGATGGGAAATAATGAGTTCAATTACGTAATGATGTTATATAGAAGCCTATAAATCTTCTTTTTCTGAAGACTATATATATATATATATATATAGATACGTGTTGCTTAAGTAATAGTTATATATATATATACCTATATGTTTAATCTCTACCTGTTGGGTTATTGGTTTAAATGAACAAATATTTATCAAAATGTCTCTTGACTACTTATTTATTTATAAAGCATTCATACTGTTCACTCTCTCTCTCTCTCTTTCGTTTTGTCATTCACATACACACATACACACATACACAAACAAACACACACGCACATGCACGCGCGCACACATATACACACACACAATCAATAACATGAAAGCTGAAACACTTAAACTATAAATGAACTTTATCAAGCATGAGATATAATACGTATCTATGTACTTAAAAACAAAACAAAACACTATGTTCTTCTTCATTTTTCTTTTTTTTTTTTTTTTTTGCTTAAGTTAAAACTGCTTTAGCTAAAAATCAATTTTAATTTTGTACAAATATATCAAATTATTATAATATCCACAACAAAAACAACAAAACAATCCTTCTGATATGAATCCATATATACTCATAAGTTACTAGCTTCAAGTGGTGATCAGTAGAGTTCAACTAGGTCTGTTGTAAGATAGTAACTCACTGATGACATAGGTGAATGTATCACTCAATGTTATGGATTAGGTGATACCGCTGGATCCCGGTCATTTCAATGGTCTAGAGGTTAAGTATTCGGGCACCAGATCGATAGGTCTTAAGTTCAAATTTTGTGGGAAGGGATGGTGGATGAGCACTGCTGAGGTAATCCTACAATAAAACGAAACGGTTGTTCAGTGCTTCCAGATTTTCCATTGTGGTCAAGCTATTAAATTACTATAATATCCACAAAAAACACCCTTTTCATATTGTTCTATCAACCTCACTAATAATAATCATAGCTTGATTGATATTCATTATAGATTCAAATGAATCGGAATGTTATGATTGATATAGTTCAATTATGTTTAAATTGAGATAGTCATTATCAATAACTTTAAATGATCATTATCCTAAACTATTAAACAGTGTAGATTATAAACTGTACACTGTACTTTTAGTGAAAGGTTATAGGGTAATCTGCTTTTCACAAGATGAAGGTTTACTATTTAGTTGGATCACGGATGTATATACTGCCGGTAAGTCTAGTGTTCTACAACTCGTAATGGTACTTCATAATGATGTTAGTATATGAGGCATTTCGAAAATACATCCTGTAATTCAGAATATAAATTTTTGAGATTGATTACCAAGCCAATAATTGATACAAGTAGAAAGTAAATATGACTGCCTTTTTCCGAAATATTCCAGTACATTCATTGTACAGACAAGAGGAGGAATTTACGACTGTATAATCATTTATATAACACCACTGCCGATATTGAAAAGGCTAAAAGAAATACAACTGTTAATCTTCAACGCAACAATCAACTTATATCTAGTTACATAATTTCATTAAATAGGCAAATGACAAATAGGCTAAGCATTCCAAAGGTGTCGTATATTTACAACAACATAGATGACAAATACTGTAGTGAACGAAAACATAAGTGAGGACAATTAAATGAATTTCAATACAGGATTCCGAAATGTCACAATAAAATCTGAGAACCATTTTCAAAATGTTAATCAATCATCTCAGACTTCATTGTCTCTTTGTTTCCGCACCAATCATTCTTTGTTCTCATTCTCTTCTCTTCAATCTTCTTAACCTTCTCCACCACCAGGCGTTTCACATTCGATTGATGATACAAACTACTGATATCTGTCGATATCAGTAGCACACCTCACAATACTATAATACGAACATACATACGATTGAAAAAGATTTTGGCATAATACAGAGTGTCTTTGTCAAACTATTTGAAACTTTTTAACGTATGACTTCAAGTACAATCATTGAAACATTCAAACGTTATGTGTTTTTGTTGTCATAGCAACTGTGGTATCAATTTTCCAGTGACAATTATGTTAACAACAGTTTTGAGCCATGGAATGTATATTATTGGTCGAATTAGCATACCACTGATAATTTAGATGAATTTAATGATCGAGAATGAATAAAGGACTATTCTCATTCATCAACTCGAGGTTTCTGTTAACAATGAAAATTTGTCATTTATAACACAATAACTAGATAACTTACTATTGTTAGTGTAAACATATCTCGTTTTAGTACAAATGTGGTAATATGCTACTGATGTTGACAGATATAAGTAGCATATAACACCAACTGAAAATGAGATGCCTGTTGGCAAACGGGTGAGAAGATTGAAAAGAAAAGAACAAGAACAGAGAGTGATTGATATTGAAATGAGGAGATACTACAGTCTAAGACAATTGATGGACATTTCATAATAAAAGTATTCACCGTATGGTTCTTAGATTTCACTAAAAGACTCTGGAATTTTGTACACTACACATATACATTAAAAAAATACAAATGAAAATGAGTAAGATAATGTTATCAAAGTATGTTTATACTTTGTAAGGATGAGACATCAATAATATACCATGAGTTCAGAAATAGTTCGTTAGTATCTTGAACTCACCAAAATGTGATATGTCAAAAACTTAATAAGATAACGCGAAGGAAGAAATCAGAAAGAAGAGCTTCTATTTTTTGACATTTAACGAGCAGATAAATATTAATCTAACGATAGTATCCTAATAAGATTTTATTAATTACAATTTATCATTGGGAATGCAGATGTGAGACAGTTGAGATCGTCTATTTTAAGTTGTAATTAATCATAAATAAAATAGTTGCTATCATTATTATTTTAATTCGTTGATTAGATTAAAAAAGCAGAACATCAATGCATACAGCAATGAAAGTTGATAAGTACCATGGTAGATGTGATATTTGTTAAAATTTTTTAATCTGTCAGATTTGAGAATAGATTTTGTTCTAGTAGTATTTGTGTTTTATATGTAAAAGTATTCATCTTATAAAATATTTCTTTATGAGTTGTTTAGTTTCGGAAAGAAATTACAAGGATACTATTATGCAGTTGTAACTAGTGAACTTCAGTCGTGTTGAATATGTGGAAGGTACCCACCTTGGGCAATTTTAAGTAAACTGACGTTTTCGTTGACTTATTGAAGTTAAACTTGTAAACCTTTGGATCCCGGTTCAGTGGTGTGGATGTTGTGTGTAAGCGCAGGACAGAAGATTATTGGTTTGACCATTGATATATAAGTTGTGGATTTATACTACTGAAGGTTCTATACTTGAGCGGGTAAGCTGTTAAGTGCTTCAAGGTGTTCAATGATTGTCTAACTATAGTCAGTTAGTGATCCTAATGACAAATCTTTAATTCAGCGTTGAATAACACATACTTATGTCAACTGTACATATTATCTAAGAAGACAAACAGATATAAACAATATGGAAATTGCTAAAAAATTTGAACTTCTTTATATTGTTATACTTTTTCGAAGTGATAGAATTAACAAACTAATATGTAAAGGAATAAAAATTATACGAGTAATACCCTTAACATTGGTTCTATTATAGGCAAGTAATACCTTAGTTACATCAGTTAGATGTTATTTAACCATGTCTAGCCATAAACTTAAGACCCTCCACCTGCTTTCCTCATATTTAACAATAACGTAGATATGAGTCTTGAACAAATATATATATATATAAACGCTGTCTACATATACTAACACTGTCACTTATAAAGTCTAATGAACTAAAAATCTTAGTCGTCTTGAATACACTCATATCCTGATTCTAGAGGACTTCACTCTTCCTAAAGTCAACTTCGCTGAACACATGTATATTGAAGATGACAACTCTACTGAAGTTTGGTTCTTGAGGATCTCAGATTATTTGAAAATGTGAAGTTATCAACTATCTGGAGAAATAGCCGGACACTGTCACGCTAAGACTTTTATTTACCAACACAGAATTCCTAATTCACAATCTCGCAATCCTAGATCCATTGTGTTAAATTGGTCATGCTATCATAGCTTTTAATTTTATCAACAAAACTGAGCTAAGACATCCGAATAGCGACAGACAACAGAAACGCAAACTATTGGATGTGTCCACTTTACAGGCGAATCTACAGTAGGTGGACTGATAAGCCCACCCTGAACTTGATGTGGACACTTATTTGGACTTCTTACTGAACACGATCTTATGTGCTACAAAACCGTCTGTTCTGAAAAGTCCCCAAATTTAAAAAGTAGCATGAAGAAAGCTAAGACGAGAAAAGCACTACTAGGAATAATATAAATGAAATCTTGAAAACAGTAGATATGAGCAGTTCAAACAAGCAGAGGATCAATGCACTAATCCAATAAGGGAAGTCGGGCTTTACTATCAAATAAAGCCAACCTATAAAGTTGTCTTCAATCCTCAAACCTTATTCTGTCATATAGCCTCCCTTCAGCAATACAAAAGAAGAGCTTCTCAAATGTCAGATCCTGGTGGCCCAACCAAAAAAGACGGTGACGCCGCCGACCTATGGGCGGAAAGGTACCCTCAAGCATTTCAACTGCACCTTACTAACTGCATCGATGAGAACTCTATCTGCAACTCAACAGGGCCATCAGACGTGAACCTGACTTGGTGTATCTGAAACCGTAGCGTCCAAACATGGACACTTCTTTTGGCCCGTATACGGTTCATTTTGTAATAATGAGGGAAGAAGGTTCTCCATTGGCAAAATACCTAGTGTGGTGTTTGTGTTCTCGCTACATCGAATTACTGTATGGGAAACTTGGAAGTTGGCACACATTACACCATCTTTCGAAGAAGGTCAACGTAGCTAACTTTCATGCTACGAGCCAGTAACGCTTACCACAATAACCTAAACTATAAGATCCCTGCAGCTTAGTTTAAGAAAAAGTCACTTGTATAACCAACTTGCTGAATGCGTTGGACAGGTGGACAACCATCCTTGGTCGCAAGGGAAAGTTTAATGTCACATACCTGGACTTCTCGAAGGCTATTGATGAGGTAAATCATAAATTTTCATGATTACATTCATGAGTCGATCTAATCTAAACCACCACTGAAACCTGAAAGCACTCAACGCCAGTTTCGTGAATTCAATTGTGAAAATACTGCAACGTCCACAAATCCCCATAGTGATATCAATCATATACGCATCATCAATAAGCAAGGTATCAAGTAACCGTTAATTGATTGCTTAATATCGTATCTGAATAATCGATATGTAAAAGTCATTCTTCACGATTGATTGATCACTCGGTGGTGATCAGTGTCATGTATGTCAAGTCCTTCTTAGTGCAGATCGAATGCTATCGACCAAGTTGTAAAGTGACCACTAGTCTAGATGACTAGACATTGCGTGCACTATGTTGAGATTAGATGGTGGTTGGAGGTAGTCCACAGGAAACCATGGACCCGGGCTTCGTGCTACTTGGCACTCGTCAGCAAGGTGTGCCTGTAATCAAGAGGGATCTAGTGCTCCCTGACGGATTTGATCACATGTCGTCCACATTCACAGTCAG